TTGTAGGTTCTCGGAATCGCCGGAATATTTTTCTTACTGTGTAGATTGTGCGATGATATCATAGGATACGAAAGGGTGGATGCTGAAGAGTAAGAAAAACCGTGAATAAGCCGGTAGATAAAGACAAGGTTTAATTTGATACGTGTTATCCAGAGGGGTTCTAGTTCGAGTTGTTGACATCTTTAGTGATAATCGTTGCTGTCGGAAAAACCCAAAACAGCAATTACTGTAAACTAAAATATCATATTTAAGAGTGGGTAAGATATGATTTTGTTTAATAATAATCTCGAATCAATATCATTGAAATTCGTCATTATGAATCCGATGGACTTTCTAGCTTTGGATAAATGAGATGCAATGTGCTCGGAAAGGTTCAAACTGTTGCTATATCTCAAACCCAAGTGACGAACAATATTGAAAAGTTTCAGTGTGTTTGCGTATAGCCAGATGTAGGTTAAGGCAGCCGCCAATGTGGATAAATTCACTTTTGTCAATATTAAAATGCAGGTTCCAGGAAACAGTCAATTCGTATAACTTGTTTATTTCTTCTTGGACTACCGCTGAATCAAAGCTTTGTTTAATGGGTGAATCGAACGAATAATCCACTTTTAGGTCGTCGGCAAAATGGAAGGGTTTACCATACTGAAAGAGGGAACACACGTCATAGATGAAAACGAGAAAGAGTAGTTTGCCGGTCACACTTTCTTGTGTAGCCCCACTAGCTAGATTTACAGGCTTAGAGTAGCAAGATCCAAAGCAGACGATTTGGCTGCGTTCTGTTATAGAGGATTTGAGGCGAGATAAGAGGGGATCCCGTGTGCCAAATGAAGAAAGTTTTAGAAGTTTGTGTGAGACACTGTCGAAGGCCTTGCTAAAGTCGAAGTATAGAATTAACACCGACTGACCAACATCTCTTCCTTAGGTAATTTATCCAAAAATTTCATGTGCGATGTGAAGTACGAGCGTTTGGCAACAAACCCGTGTTGAGATAGACTAATTAGGCCAGCTGAAAGTTAAAATGATAATTGCTGTTTGTGGATGTTTTTTCCATGGTTCTTAGTAGTGCAGATGTCAAGTTAGTGGGCCCATAGTTGACAATATCACTACCAAATCCCGTTTGGAATTTAAGGGTAACTAGAGATGTTTTCCATACTTGCTAGCTCAGGCACTGTTAACAGATACTCGAGTATTAGCAAACGTACCGATTTCATTGGTTTATGAGCTGGAGCTGCAACTACCATGGTCACTTTAGCCTGTGTTTAACGATTGAGGGTTTTAATGGTTCTGTTAATGTATTTTTCTACATTTTAGGTAAATGCACCAGTATAATTGGTAGGGTTGAGTTAATATAAACTCCTAGTATTACCTAGATATTGCTTTATCATAGCAACAGTGAGCTCAGACACTAAGAAAACCACATTCAGATGATGAGTCCCTCACTTTAACGAGCAGTGAGCGCGCGATACAATTACCGTTTTTGTGTTGTCTCTCCCGAGGCATCAGGATCACAGACAGTTGGAGATTCCCGTTTTCCCTATGGTTTTTTGATTACTATCCTTACAAGAATTAGGGGCATGTGTAGGAGTATGGTCCTGATCATTGAGTGTTAGCTTTTGAGTTCAGGGATCCATGTTTCACACATAACTCTAAGATTCATTATCTTGTGTCGTTTGTAATCCTGTTGATAGAAACGGGTATTTTAGGACTATTAATGGCCACTAAATTAAGATCTCTACCTCTAACAATCGTCCTCGTAATTGCAGTGATAGTACTAGTGGCAGCGCTGTTACTGTGCATGGTATGCAATGAACTAAATAATCAAATGTGAAAGAATTTAAGGGGAAATTCAGCAAGACATAGGCTTCGTAGGGGAGGAAGAATAGAGACAAGTGAATAAATGTTTCACAAGAATAGAACCTGAGAGAGACTTAAAGTTGCAACATTATCTTTTACGGTCCACAAAAGGGGATCCGCGTGGCTCCAATAACTTACCCAACCTAAGTATGGCTATGGTCATCAAATTTATTACTGTGGTTGTCTACTAGCAAGGTAATGATGCAGTTTGTATAATTAGAAATATTTAAATACTTGAAAATAGTTGTATATAGTTCCGACCAAGCATCAGACGTTGAGTTACCAATAAATCGAACTATTACCGCGAACAAACTGTTTAAATAGGTTGAAAGCCCCTGAGTTGTAAGTGTATTTTAGTTGAAACTAACTTTTTGGAGCATATTATATTATTTCACTTATGTTGCCTAGACTAAACCCAATATCTAGCACTATATGATTTTTACAGAGGTCATGGATTTTATTTGATTTAGAACTTAGACGACCAGTGAGTATACAGTCATTGGAACACGCCTAAATTTAAACAAACATTGATAACACTGCTGTACACAAGTATACAGGTTTACATCAGTATTTTGACTTCCATACTACTAGTTAACTTCTATAATGTAAATTCGTTCAACCAATGAGTGAAATTATAAACCGTTAGACTGTATTCAATAAAACTGACAAAATACTTTGCTTAAGTGCAGGCGAGCAAGGTTTTATTTCTTAACATATAATTAGAGTTATTCCGATATACTACCATCCCCACGGGCGGTTAACTACAAGGTTTCTCAATGGTGCTGAAATTTATGAAAAAAAGTTCAAATAAAACTATGAGATAATTGTCGAAAAAAAATTACTCGTTCAAGAATTGACAACGCACATCTTTCGTATGTTCTTGCTCAGACAATTCGAGGGGCGAAAAAATTTATCAGCAAATGACAGAGAATGCTACAAAAATAGATTCACGGCATGTAAGCGGCGAATATGACATAATATTTACCATACAATTTCATCACCGCCACAATCAAATAAGTAGTGACAAAAGAGCAAGCAGTTAACACTCACTTAGGAGTTAACGTAAAGAAACTATGCATTTGTAATGAAATATCACTATTATTGTTTGAGTGAAATGATAAGGTAGATAAATGTCATTTTGTCAGTCTAAAATTTAATGACGTACACGTTATTGATCTTGTGGATATAAAAATGATTAGCAACTTTCTCCCGAACCGTTTATTTATCATAGGACTCGAGTCTCTTCGGAAGGCATTCACCCTGTTATCATTACATACCAATTCACACCAACTTTTATGCCTTTAAATCCGGCAAAAGAGCTACCTTAAATTTATGTGAGATGTAACAGCTGATAGTTTTGATAATTTACCACTAAACCATCGATTACTGTTGTATACATACTCGGCTGCACGAGTATTATAATTGAATGCATTTGACATCAAAATATCTATTTTCTCTTATCCACTTGTATGTTGGTTGCCTAAACTCTCGGTGGCTCATAAGCATGCAAAGATGCATTTGCTTTTTAAACCACATCTATTCCTCTCATTCATGATGTATTTACAGGTTATTCAACTTGACCTCTGCTTGAAACAAACTTTTCTAATTGATTTGTTTCGACCCATGGAAATCATAAACCTCTGAGGATTTATGGCAATAAAGGTTTTGCAGTCGACCAGCATACGATGTGTCGGTGTAATCTTGACAATACTCGCAACACACATTTTGATGACGGTAACAAAAATATCACATGTATCATGATAATTCTTTGAAAAAGTTTGGACCAGATTGCCAGGCGAAACGTTGGATTTACTACAAATTCATTCGCTGAGATTTTACAAATATATATTATTTCTATATAATGTATCACATGTATCATGATAATCAGTGTTTCAGAGATGAGACTTTTCTGGAAGTTTCGTCTTAAATGGGTTGTTTTTTGAGAAACAGTATTCAGTCGGATTCAAGATTCGGCCGTTGGACTTATCTCCATCTAGATACGTTTACAGACTAGACTTTCTCCTTGACTTCTAATTAATGTCAGCAGCCATGTTGAGTTAGGTGTTCACTGAATGAATAGTGGGTCGGTATTTAATCGGGTAGGTGCCGGATATAATTGTGAGCATGTAAATAAATTTTGAGGTGGAAGTTATATATTAAACGGAATAATAAAAGTGTTATGATGAATATGCTGAAAAATTATCAAAGTTGTTTGGTGTAAGGGAAGTCAGTTTCCCCAGGAAATTAGTTTATTTAACTCAAATGATCGCTGCACCATCAATTATTAAGTAGCTAATTCTAACTCCGCTCCACTTCGACTAAGGTGGCTATGTAGCGTTTTTAGATCTCATTTTCAAAACAGTATTCTGGACACCAGATATAAAAACTTGTACTTCAAGGTTAAGATAACCAGTCGAAAAATTATTGAGCCAGGTTGAAAGCGAATGTTAAAATCAACTAGTGGTCATTTATTCCTGCCTTTGGATCGAAATCTGTAAGAGTGCTTGTTACGACGAAGTACAAAACGGTTCGGTTTGATAAATGATCCGGCTAGAGACTTACAAGCGAAGAACGTCTATTTTGGCAGTTAAAGACACTTCGAATTTCGCCCGAATTGCCAAGTGATGTTATTCAGTTGCTGTGCGTTCCTTTGAAGTAACGCTTTTTACACAACAATCAGATGGTCGTACATGAAAGTTGTAAGTTTTTCATAACCGACCTCCGTAATAAGTTCGGCCAATTATTCTGGCTGAGTTGGTTGTTTTACAGTATAGTCACCTTTTAATGATGAAAGCATAGTATTTCCTGATGAATATTAGTTTTCCTGTCATTCAAAGACCGGCTGATTTGTGATGAAGGAGTCTTCGTTTAATGAGAAACCTCTAAGTGAAAGTGTTAATTGAAAAGGAAATAGAACAATAGTGTGATAGTTTCATAACCGGGCACAGAAACTTCTCAGACCACCAGTTCGAATTAGACGACAGTAGCAGTATAAATGGAGTATAAAAGAGCTTATCTTGATCAGTTAGAACAAACAAAATCGCGAGGTAACTTTAGACCCAATGAAATGGAATGTAGAATGAAATATGGCATTTATTATGGTTTACACCGATGCAGACGGATTCTCATTCCGCCATTAGCGCGCTGACCAAATTGGTCGCTACGATAGATGGCGGGAACATGTGATTTGGTACCATGTTGGATGTATTAGGTTTCAAAGTAGTGAAATCCATCTTATGATTAAACTCCTTCGTTTTGTTCTGTGGCTCTCACCGTCGTCCACAGATCAAATATTTCCTAACTCAACAGGGTAATCTGCCAAACTAATATACCTACAAAGTTTTTCCAAGTTATAGCGTCCGGCAAGTCTCAGATTTTTATATAAGTTGAATTATATAGGAATGAGTTTCTTGTAAATAGGCTTTGTACGCACATTAAGTTATTTAAATTCTATTTCTTATGAGATTGTCATTTCAATGTAGGTATCGCTTCATGATCGCGCTACTGAATCCTGAATCATATTTAATTTTAAAGATCAGAGTAACTAGTTTAATTTCACTCATTTGATTCAATAGAGTATGCCTTACATTTGATTACGGCGATGATAAAACTGACCTGATTAAAAAATGTCCAAAATGTAAGATTTCATTGGTGTAGACGATTACTGATTGACGTTTACCTCCTAGCCTTCATCTGTGCTTCATGCAAGCCAAAACCTTGGAGTCTCCATCCTGCCATAAGTTCACCACTTGGGAACTTATTATAAATAAATATGCATCTTGAAAAAATCACATCTCATGGCGATATTAACGTATGGATACTTTCACAAGGAACTACTTAGTAGATGTTTGCTTAAAACCAAGCAGGATAGAACAAATTATAACACTTGTTTGACCAGGTGTATGAGAAATAACGACAAGCTTTTGATTAGCACAGGTGGCACAAAATTTGCTAGATTAGGATTCTTTAATGGAACATAACTTTCATAATAAGATCATTAAGCTGCCAAGTGAGGAAATCAAATCTAGTTAAACCCAACCAAACACACCTCTGCCCGTTGACAGCTGAAGTATTTTGAGGTCTTACCCCCTCAAAATTACTGCCAATCGGCTCAATAAAACTTGGGCTATCAGGGCTTTTGACAGAACGTAGGTAATCTAGATCTTGGACTATCCAAGACTATTTTCGGTTCATACGCCATTTGTTCCCCCAGGGTGCTGAAGCCCATGTTCTTCATTGGTATGGAATCGCGGTTTTCCAACTCTCATAGGTGGACTCGCCGTGTCCAACCCGGTTAAAGCGCCGGACATTCGCTTTTCGTCCTCTTAATTTCGTGAACAACACCCCCGTCGGGAGAAAGCAGTGAGTAGGACTTCCCTGGCAGAGGCTATATAAGCGTTGCCATGTGAGAGTATTTCGAGAGGGAGAGTGGACTCTCCCCACTCTCGGCCGTACCAGGGCATTTGGAGGCCAACAAAGTTCCAGGTAATATAAACCCGTTGGTTTCCTTGTATCCCCGTGTAAATTTTAGGTATGTGTATATGATGAGTTAGAGTTTCAAAATCCACGTTCTAAGAAGGTTCAAAAGTTTACGGCATTTTGGGTTACTATATTTATTCAAGAAATATCAACGGTATTGAAAAGTAAAACCATTGTTCAACTTCCTTTCATTGTAAGGAAATGTTGGGAATACCTCATGAGTTTAGTAATAATATTGAAGAGTTGTAATTATTAAGCTTGTTAAACCCTGCTGCATGTACTCGATATGTGTATGTCAGTAGGTAGGTTGAAACATAATGCCATTAAACCAACTAGTTTCATCCTTTAAGAACAAAATAACTTCGGAAATTTCTTATCATAGAGGGCGGTGTAAGTGCTGAAACCACTTTATTTTACCATTCATGGGTGATGTAAACCGTTCATTTCTTGCATAATTCCAGTTCACTTGCTGTGCACTGTAGCTGCTCACACTGTCTAGTCATATTTTCCCCCTTTCAGGTCCTCATATTACATGTCTTCGAAGCTGGTACCTGGAAAGAACAAATCCGGATTGCAAGACTATTTTATTTTGCTATTTCTACTGATTTAAAACTTCAGTTTTTTAATGTTGAGGAATCGTGTGTGCTTAGCTGCTATCGGAGTTATTCCGTTAATTTTAGTCACATTTTTCCTTGTCTTCGATGTGTGCAGTGAACACTGTCACAATGACGGTAATTTGAGTATCTTCGTTAATTTAATTAATAAAGTCTTTTTGGAGGCTAAACTTGGTAAACCCTCTTATGCTAGATGGGCGAATACGTCAATTACTTTAATCTGCTCTGGAAAAGGATATGTAGATTCCTCCGTGCATGTATTATTTTTTTTTCAGACAAGTGTTATGTGGTATTCTGTGCGGAAGGTTTACAAAATGGCTATTGGATGTCTTAAAAACGAACATAGGCAGTTACAGTTAGATTGGTTTCCTAATGTTCCTGAAATAATGTAAGAATACTTTGATCCTGTTTATGCTCCTCAGTGCTACTTACGTTTCATATGAAAAGCGAATTCGTCAAGTGTGTATATTTTCTTTATCAAATGGAATTCTATCTTCCGGGGTTTCAGTAGAAGAACTAAATGGTATTTATTTGTTTGTTATTATGTAGCTTTAGATCAATCAGTTGATATGATGCTGACTACGACAGTATATTTTCTGCCAAATTCAATAATTACTAATGTATTTTTTATCTGCAAACAGGTTAGATAATTTTGAATAAATTGAGCATTAGGTAGATTGTTATAAATAATTTAATATATTTGTAATATCCCAATCAGTAGAAAAATTAGATTTTCTGACATTTCGTGACTCAGTGTAAGCCACTTCTTCAGAGAATAAAAAACACTGAGTCACGAAACGTCAGAAAATTTAGTTTGTCTACTCATTGGGATATTACAAATATATCAATTTATGCAAATAGGTTATTATTATTATTTAAACACATAAATATTGGTACAAGGTTAGTTTATTTTAGCATCGAATCACTGTTTCCACCTGCCTTCACGTGTGCTAAATAATAAGTCCTGAATACGGCCGGTTCGATTAGTTCTACAAGAGCACTTCAGCTCACATCCACATATCATATTAGTTAATCTATTTCGTACTGATTGCGTCAGCATTGTTTTGGTCGAGAGTTAGCTTGGAAGCTCGGTTTCTGTACCAGACAGGCAGACCGCATCACACCATGAAATAGAAAATAATATTTTTACAAAATCAGGCCAAATGTGACTGTGAACGTGGGAGACAATAGTCAATAAACTGAACATAATTTAGGGATAGTAAATCGTATAATAATAGTTTATACGTCAAGATAAAGCTTATAATAAGATGAATATAGATATACGCAATCTAATTACTCAATAGTTAAACAATAAGAATATATACAGAATAATCATACATTAACAGGTCCTGGGAGTTACCCGTACTTATGTCTTCACCAGGATATATCACCCTTTTGGGTTGTACAGCCATCCATTTTTACGAACAGAAAGTCATTCTGCTGGTTGATTATGTTGTCTTTTGGTATCAGTTTATTCTTCGACTTGGGTCGCCGACTCGGTCATATTGTGTCGTAGCGCATCATCTATCGGTTATTGTTCTTTGATCGTCTTGAAAATCGTAGACACCAAAAGGAAAAAAACCTTTATAACAGTATATGTAAACATCGTGTGATAAACACGTTTTTAAATGTTACATCCCTCTTCGTAAGGATGATGTTAAAAACGACATACTAATCCCGTTTTCCCTTTGCCAAATAAATTTGAGATCTGGGCGGATGTTATTGAAAGATTCATTTGACGCAAGTATGTCATTCATTTGCACAGTTTAAAACTTGGTGTTTTGGTTTTCGTCTTCTCATACGGTTAGCGCATTGATACTTTTTACTACTTAAATGTTTTACGGAAAGATAGTATCTCGATTTTATTAAGTATTTCATTTTATAGGGTGAAGTGCGAAATGGAACTTGCCACAGTCAATTGGGTAACGGCACATTTTATAATGGTGAAAAAAACATATATAAGAACAACGAATTTTATAAAATAACCGATAAAGTTGTTCCTACACATATGGGAAAACACGAGTAAGTGATTGACGGTTTTTATGGTTTACAACACTGGTTTTCGGTTGTTTATTAATTACTTTTGTAGAGTGAGCCATTCTCATAATCTTAGTTATGTTTTATTGTATTACAAGTGTGTTTCATGAAAATTTTAGTACTAAGAACTTGTTAATCAATTTGATTTTCGCTTGGAACCCTTTTGATCGTTTTTAATCCATCTGGGCCAGGAAGATAACTAACTTACTTTGATTTGATCCACAGGAGGTCTTTATCTTTTTTGCATGTCGAATATGTATTCATTTCCTGGAGACTTCACCCCTGGTTACATTTTCAGTAGCACTTCCACATTGAGAGTCTTCAGTTGGAACATAGTTTAGCAGCCAGTCTATTTGCATGTGACGTACAATAAAACCACACTAAGTTTTTATTCATATATGCAGTTCGGTTATTACAGTTGTCTGTTTTATCGATTTTGATGTGTGTGACGGAGTTTAGCCGGATTCGTCGGCATAATTCTAGATGATATTATTTCGGTGCATTCTTAGCATAGCTTGTATGTTGAAAGGACGAAACAAACTTTATCAAGTTCAATTATTGTGATACGGAAAAGGTTCGATGAACGGCATAAATTGTGGATTGGTATACCTGGATGTTATTTAGTCAAGGCATTTTATTGAACTCAGGTATTTGGAATATTTACTCTGATTATTTAATCCATTTTGCAACAATGGAAAAGTCGACTCATTACTGAGATCCTCGGATGGCAAAATTCTTTGACTTGCTAGGAGCTCTGGGATTGTTTGATTAACTATGCTTCTGGTTCTAAATGTTAAGAACTTCACTTTTTCAATCTAAATGATCATGTAAACCACTATATCTATTTAGTTTTTCCTTAGTTTAACGAGTGCAATAGTGTCAGACCTTACACTGCTTCATCCAGTTGGCGTGGATGGTTTATTTCAAACTACTTGGATGACAAATAGTATTTTCCCTTCTAGTGTCTTTCAAAACCCATTCTGGTTCATCATTCTAACTAGGTCGACTGTTTGATAAGCTAATGAACAGCGATCAGTAACCGTAATCGATTGTTTGTAGAGACGAGTACATCGATTTTTACTTAAAACAGGAATACTAGAGTATGACGTACAAAAAAGGGGAATACAGTGTTTTAAGGATGTTTAGGTTCAAATAAAAGGGATAAGTTAAATTAACAGGAAATTGAGCAGTTTTTGTCTGCTTTCTATCTTATAGCTAATAAAGCAAGTGAAAAAAGCGAAATGATTATAGGACGTTCATCACTGATTGTATGTTTTAGTCATGAAAACTTATGTCTAAAGCCGCTAATTTGTGTAAGTTTAAGTTCCTCGATCAGCACTTGTATTATCTATTTTTATGCTATAATTGAGCATTAGCATCATGGTGTTGCCAGTAAATGTAAGCAGTCTTCTAAAGACACCAGGCAGTAGACGTAAAGCCATCATGCATCTGCCCTAATAGGTCAGTTTTTCACAGACATAGAGCAGAACTACTCTCACCGACGTTTTGTAAACCTGATGTTTTACATCAAGAGTAATATAATGACCCAGAGATGACAAGCTATCAGTCAGTCACAACGTGTACAACGTGTACTTATGTACGTCACTTCAAGTTGCCATACCAAATTAACACAGAGTGGTTGTCAAGCCAAATCTAAGAATAGTAGAGGTAGTAGCAACATTACAAGTAATAAAAAAGATTACGCATCCAAGTTATGACTCGAAAATAGAATCTAAATTATCGAAATAAAAAAAACGTTTCGAAGAACACAGAATCTCAGGATTCGGGGAAAAACAAAAAAAAACATGCACCTGTGTCATTGCAAACGATTTTGAATCATGTCATCTGAAGTCTTCAACCATTGGCTACGATAATCACGCGTACCCCAACCAGGTGGTCTTTACGCTTATTGAAATGGCTCAGTCCAATCGTCGATGACTTCATGGATTGGTGCCATGTTTTGGTTTGATGAAACGCACACTACAAAGATAGACGAATTTTCAGTCCCATAAATTTAGCTCTGAGACTGCAGCGTCAACCTTTAATACTAATGGTTACAAAATCTACTGAACAGTCAGTCAGTGACTAATTAACTGAGGGTTACTAAATAATCATTTCTATCTATATAAATACTCCGACCTTCATACATATAGTTCCTTAAGGTATTTCAGAATGATGGTCATTTGGTATGGAACCCTATAGAAATTGAACTGATACAAGTCTATAGTACAGTGACAACACAAAGTAAATTATTAGATAAGGAAGCATCAAAAGTGTCATTTTTGTAATAATGTACAAATTTGCCATTTTATTGTTTGCTTCTTAACCTCCCAGGACATCTTGCATTTTAATTCAGATTTATAAAAAACAGGTCGTTGAAGACAAGCAAAACGAGTACATACAATTCGTAGACTACTTATGTTGCTGTAATAACCAAACGAATGGTTTATAATTCTTTATTTGCTTTCGCTAAAATGTAGAAGAACATTTAAAAAATGGCTGTGTTGTGATGAACTGAAGAATTCTTTTCATAGTGTAACTGGTTGTCTAAACCATTATTTGACCCAACCAATAAAATCAAACTAAGCTGAGTCTGCAACCTACAATGTAAGGAGCAACTATAATAGATGATATATTGAGAAACACAATTAATGCTAAAAGAGGCAGCAATCTAAAAATCAATTTTTCCGGTTTCAACTTACATCAAATTATAAACACAATCTTATTGCGCCTAGTAAATCACTTCTGTTTGTGTAAAAAGTATGAACTCCTTTTGAGATTTCGATGCAAGAATGGTCAAACAACCTGACTAATTCACTTCCAACCAGTCAGCACTAATAAATGATGCCACTTGCCAGAGGTTTTCTGCGCAACATGTGTGAACATTCGTGTTTATAAACTTGCATTATTGTTCTGGTATTTGCCTTTGGAATGTATCGTGTTGTGTTATATCGAGTAGTTGGAGAACAATACTAATGTTTTCTGTCATCGTAATTATTTACTTCGAGTGACGCTCGTCAGGGTTGTGCGCTTTCTCCATGTTTATTTAACTTTACCATAGAAATGCTTTTAGAGAGCACTTTCATCGTCTGACTTTTCAGTTGACCTTCTACCAGGAGACTCACTTGTTGGGATGTGTCACGTACGCACAACCACGGCCTACATCGATGGGCGATTTTGTATGGTGTGAGAATAGACTGGATCAAAACTAGGGGTGGGGAAACCAAAAATACGGCATCAGTCCGTGAAGACATCGACGACGGGACTGAGCGATTCTGTCTTTCCCCAAATCATGAGCTACTGAGTCCTTCATAACTTTTTTTTTCTGTATGTTTTCTTGAATTGTATTTTCGATGCCTACTCTTTGCAGTCACCACTCACACTGTCACCACCTCTACTACTCTGGGATTTCGCCTGACAACTTTATCTCTCTGTGTTAATGGGATACGGCAATTCGAACTGATGTACATAAGTAAAGGTTCTACGTTGTGATTGACTGAGTTGTAGTCGGATTTTTGATACTCGTCTACTTAATAAGTCTGAGTTGTTGTATACTGTTATCTGTCGCTGCTGCGTTTTATTTCTCTTCTGCTATTGCCACCTGCCTCTGCTCACGAGCATTACCTAGTTTTTTTGTCATCGTACGTTTAGGCTGCCTCTCCTTATGTTCAGTGCTAGACGAGATGAGTTTTGTAGACGGAACGGAAATCCATTGATTTTTCTCAACGTTTTTGTTTGAGTTACTAGTATATACCGCTGCTGTTTCTACAGTTGATTGAACATCATGCCAAACAACCTCGGTTTGGATATCACTTTCATGGTTGATTAACTCGTTCTCTTATTTTTCCTGAAATATATTAAGATTTTCATTAAGCTGTACTCTAGTGGGATTTCCTGCTGTGACTTTTCTACATTTAGTGAGACGCAGACAAATACATGCTTGAAATAGAGTGTTATCTGAGTCTAAACATGTGCTCCAGAATGAACGACATTCCTTAATCGAGCTCCTCCAACGATGACTAATCGCAATGTGATCTATTTAAGTTTACCAGTGAGTCGATTGTGGATGTCGCCACGTCAGAAAATGTTTCTTCTTATATTTATAGTTTGTGTTTGCCAGAAATAGACGGTTATCTGAGCGTAGTTGCAACAGACGGTACTTTATAGAGTTGTCGCACCCGATGAAACACAGTAAGAAGACACCAACAAAATGGTAAGAAAATAAGTTAGACGGAACATGACTGTCAAAGATGACCAGGTAGGTAAAAAATGCTAAGATATTTGAGATTTAGGAAATAAGAAATGAACTCATGTTCTCAGTTGTGGTCATCTGAGAGTCCTGTTGTCCAAGATTCCCTACTGTTGATTTCTGTTATCGGGAGAGCCATACACTAACAAGCATTGGCTTTATCAAAAGATGTTACGATTTGGTCTAGTTTCCTTTAGTCTTTTGCGACCTTGTCTAGGCGTCTTTGCACATAGGAACAAATAGCTGGTTTTCGAAATGAAACTTCAGAAAATGTCTTACCGTTTCAATCGTGAATTTTCTAGTCGTCTCTCAGTAAATTATTTCGTATTACGTATTGTAAAGGTAATAACTTATGTTTTAGGTGTTGAATTCTAATTTTTTCATTTTTCATTTCCGTCCATAATATAATTTATTAACTGTATGCTCTCAAACAGATGTTTCGCGAAAATCAATGGTACCTATTACGTTGTGTCAGTTATTTTCTCAAGTATGTTGATTAATACTCATTATCCCTTCCATTTATAACATTTTCTATGTTATTGTTATCTCAAACACTCCAGTAAGATATCACTTTATTTGTCGAATGGCACATAATTTTTATATCCACTTCTGCTGTATTTCAGTTTTATCTAATGCATAATTCCAAGTCAATCAAGCTTTCATTTATATTTTCACTCCACTAGTTTCGTACAGAAGCGTTTGTAGCTTGTTTCAAGTTTGGCTATAGTTTTTCTATATACGGTTATCGTTTGTCACGCTCACATGGTCCACTGTTGTAAGCGATTTAATTTATACTTTGTGGAATATCGCTTTTCGAACTAGTCGTAGATAAAATAAATTTGTAGGATCTCATCGTGGTTTTAAGTGAACGTACCAGTCAACTGCTACCTCCAGTGCCACTGTAGTGAACGAAAACACAGGTGGGGACAATCAAATGTATTTGAACACAAAATTACAGAATTTAGTAAAATCTGAGAACCAAACAGTATATACTTAATTTGCAAAATGTTAGTCAGTTGTCTCAGATTTGATTGTTTCTTCGTTTCCACACCAATCATTCTTTGTTCTCGTTCTCTTTTCTTTGATCTTCTTAACCTTCTGCCTCCAGGGATTTCACCTTCGACTGATGATATATACTACTTATATCTGTCGACATCAGTAGCAACCACAACACTACTTGGAACGTTATTTTATTCTTTAACACCTCGTTAGTAGACTGCCGATTTAATGTCTTCTGTTACCTTTTTTCGGTTCTAAAAATTAGCGGAAAGACTCAGTTATTATCATTCGGCTGTACCACATTTGTGCCTAACTGAAAAACAAAAATACTCCAATTTCGTGTCTGATAGGTCAAAGAGAAAACATAAAGATTTCACCAAAATTGTTCTGCTTTACGGCTGTGAAATGTGGCCATTAAGAATAGAAGATACTCGTAAGTTACTAGTATTTCATGACAGCTGTCTTAGAAATATTTCTCGTATCTGCTGGGATCACCGGGTAAGTAGAAGTGAGGTTAGACACAGGGCATTAGGGAATGGTGGTAAACCAGTTGATGAGGTTGTGAATCTTCATAGACAGAGATGGTTGGGCCACGTATTACGTATGCATGGACACCGATTACCACGATGCGCAATGACGATTAGTGTTGGGGACTGATGGAAGAAACTTAGGGGTGGCCAGATCAAAACAGCATTAATCCATAAAGTCACTAACTTCTGGTCTGAGCCATGTTGGTAGATGCAGCCTACTTGGATGCGGTCCGCGTGACTATCGTAACCAATGGTTGAAGACTCTGAGTGTCATGTCTGAGAATCGATCACAATGGTGTAGGTGTATACATCCTTTGTTTCCTATTAAACTATGAGATTAAAATTGATTTATACCTTTCTTTCTACAAAATAATTCTTTCTTCCTGTATTATATCCTTACATGCGATCTTTCTTTTATATATTATCACCACTGAAGTAACTGCTTCTATTAATTTGGTGTCCATCTTGCTGTGCTAATGAGGTGTGGCAACTTTGACCGATGTGCCTGGTCCTACGTTGTAACTGACTGACTGACTGTTTAAATGAATATATCCATTTTATCTCTATTGCAAAGTAGCTTCTGATTAGTACTTCCTTTTATTTTTAGACATAATTGACTGGGTGTACCCAGATTCAGTAAGTTACTTTTCATTCTACTTTGTTCAAATTAATGTATTTACTGTTCACAATAAATTTTTTCTGATTATTGTGTTTGCTCCACCTTGAGTTTCCATTTGGGTAAGGCAAATAGAAATAAAACGTTTCAAAAACACCTAAAGGGAACCAATTGTGTTTTGAAACTACAGAAAACCTAAAAATTGTTCATATGCCTGTGAGATGCGGTGGGTACCACTGGTTAGTTCTCTAACTAGACAGCTCACTCTAACTTACGTTGTGGCAGTTTGAATAAATCATAACCCGCTCCAGAGTTCCTCAAGTATCATTACGGAGAAAAATCTTTTGGATTTATGCGCATTTATCGCTAGGTGTTATAAATAATATATTTATCAGTCACTTTGAAAGTTGGATGTTAGTATCCATGAGCCACATCCTTAGAATGTGATTTACATTTGAAAGGCCAAATTGTGAATATTCGTCTAATCTCATGAAGTCGTTACTGAAAATTCACACACTTTGAGTATTCAGGGGCATTCTAGGTACGTCTCATAGCTTTTCAAGCACATCGCAGTACTGTGTTTGATAACAGGAAACACACTTGTCGTCTTCACCCCATGATTTCGACTTTTTAAATCAACTCATCCAACAGGTACTTGTGTGTGATCTTCACTTGAAGCATAAGGAATAATGATACTTCCCGCCTGTCCAGACCGAAGTAGGTAGATTGGAGTTCGGACCTGGGACTTACTGGCTGTAGGTTCAATGCCTTAACCACTGATCCACTACTCCACCATGTCAATTCACGTATCCATCAACTTCAGTTGGACTGACGTAAAATGAGATTTTTATTGAATTTGATCTAGTCATATGTCAGGGTATATAGTCGTTGTAATATATGACATTGATACCAAAGTGAAGAATCCTAGACAGACAAAAACACACGTATGTAGTAATTTCGGTTTTTCAACCAAGCCAATGATCATGTCTAGATGCTGCGGCTTTCTTCTGAAAGTCATATTTTTGGGTAAGCACTAACTTTATGCACATTCTATGGCCTGAAAGTCGGTCATTAGCGCAAAATGTTTTTGTCAGCAATCTACACCTCATTGTCTATCCCACTGTTGTTAAACTGAAGCTAAGGCTTGTAAAAAATATAGTTAAGACGATGGGACGTATTTTGTGAAACAGTCTAAGTGACTTACAGTTTTCAGATTCTAATTATACAGAGACATTTTCTGCGGTACATTAATAACAGATCTTTAATTCGCACGTAAATTAATGTAGGGTGTCACTATCTTGAAAAGGGGAAGAACGGCAGATCTTACTGGGTTATTGTCAGTGTTATTTCGACGGAAGTCTGAGTTTCTTAGTTAAACTGATGGATCTATTAGTTATGATATGGGAGTCAAATATGCTTCTGTTTATCTGGTTTTGTTAACTGATCATTTTTGTGAATGAAGGCCACAGCTGTCGTATGGTAGTCCTAAAAAATCGGCTGGATTTGTCCAAGCGCAAATCGATCCAATAATGTATTTCCTGCTGGCTTTTAGGTTGGGGTCTGTAATTTACCCAAAGTTTGTGGTTTTAATCTCAGGATGTGTATCACAGGTGTTTTTTCTCACATTTTAAAATCAAATGACTGACATATTTCACTTTCTAAGTATTGTTTCGTTATTTTTCTTTTCTAAGTAAAATATTGTATACATTTCATATAGAAATGGAATTTTATTGCAAAGTTTATAACATGGTTATACTTTAGATTACCGGAAGTAAATTTCGATTTAAAAAAACTGACTTGGTGATTTAAGTGTTCATATATTTTCCAGGTCTCCTATCGTTTCATGGGCGAACAAATGTGTGGGTCAGATATGTGCATTCAGGCTGCTAATCAAGGCTACATGCTGTGTGATGCTGGGATCCATGATTGCTACGTAGTGAATAACTCTTATCAGTGTAAAAAAGGAGTTCCACTAATAGATTCCTGTGAGTATTTGGCTAAAGGTAAGTTTCATCGCTATTTCAGCTTTTTATAGAATATCATTTATGTGAGATGAAATTTACTGGGAATATAAAACAAATATGCATCCTTTTATTTTTCGAGGTTATATACATAAAACTACTAGTATTGCATAAATTTTTGCTCAAATTTCATTAGAAGAAAGACTTTGGTTTTCTCTATTTAACTGTCCTGTGACACTATACTCTCAAACTATCTGGGCTTCACAAACTAGTTTTTGATGGAAAACTTCCTAGTTCCCATCCAAAAGGTATCTCGAATTAAATTTTGTCTAAATAAACTTACGAGGGTTGGAATTCTTGCAACATAGTAATAATATCAGACTAAGATAAACGTCATCAGCATAGATAAATCATATGCTCATTTGTTTGATAAATGTTAAGTGTCTATCTAAATTTCTTTCATCACTCTGATCAATCTAGGCTACATTTCATGCCATCAGTTGACGAGGTTATGAATCTTCATCGACTGAGATGGTTGGGCCACGTGCTACATATGCCTGAACACCGATTACCACGACGCGCTATGCTGACTAGTATTGGCGATGATTGGAAGAGAGTTAGGGGCGTCCAAACCAAAACGTGTCATCAGAACTTGAATTCACTAACTTCTGGTCTGAGCCATGTTGGTAGATGCAGCCTACTTGGTTGCGGTCCGCGTGACTATCGTAACCAATGGTTGAAGACTCTGAGTGTCATGTCTGAGAATCGATCGCAATGGCGCAGGTGTATACACTCTTTATCTGCCCTTAAACGGTGAGATTAAAATTGCTTCGTATCTGACTTTCTCCCTGTACTATATCCTTACATGCGATCTTTCTTTTATATATTATCACCACTGATGTAATTTCTTCTATGAATTCGGTGTTCATCTTGTTGTTCTAATGAGGTGTGGCCACTTGGACCGATGCACATATGTGGCTGGTCCTACGTTGTAGCTGACTGACTTTCATGCCAACGGGATACTAGTGTAACTGGGAAAGCTTGCAACGTAGTTTTGCTTTGTCTATGAAACCTGGGTGCTCTGAAATAAGTGGCTTAAGTTGTTGTTAAATATGGCTCAAAGTTGAAGCAAGCGGTGACCAGTCTATTGCTTTTCATCACATTTTTCGTCAAAGAAAGGTGGGCCCTCTTAACTAAAAGAAATCTTTTTTGACTATATTTTTAACTGAACTTTGACTCTTGAAAAGTAGCATTCTTGTCCACTTAATTATTGATTGTACGATCCTTTCCTCTTTTATTTCTTCACAATATTATCCTTCCATTTTTGTGGCACCATTTTCGGTGCTCATTTTACCATAATTCATGTACTATGAGTAGATGAAATACTGATATAATGTTAAGACTACACTTATATGTTGTGAATTTTTATTTTAATCTCATTTGGTTTCTAATGGTTTAACATGATCTCTTTGTAATCCCTTTTATCTTAACTCAAGGTTGATAAGCTGAAACTGCTTGTTAGTTTTTGTGACAATATTAAAGAAATTATGTTACGAAACTTTTCAATATAAAGAACACTGTAATTATTCACATATTCACTAATCTCTTACGTGACCAATTTGGTATTCATACAAATAAAATTAAATGAGTGCAGTATCATTTCTACTCTTCGTTAATTTTACTCTCTGCTGACATCAAATATATGTACAAAACAGTCGTTGCTATCGCTTCATAAACAGCCGTTCAAAAGTTTTATTCTATATCATATCTACAAAGTAACCACTAAATATTGTAGTTTATTTTATCTACAGTTGGGGCTCTAGTATTCTCATTTTTTTTCAATCTTTCAGATTTCAATTGGTCTTGTCCACATGTTTCCAGAAATTCCCCTGAGATTGCCGTAAGTTTGTTTTCAGTATCAGCATGGTTCTTAAATAAATAAGAATTAAATTAACAGGTGTTAGCGTTCTTTTATTTAGCATATGATTTTATTCACCTGCCCCTTTATAAAAGACCCACTGTCTACAAATTTCTTGACACAGACAAGGTTATCGATGTATAACAGAAAATTACAGCCAGTTTTTGACTTTAGGGTTTCCTAGCTCTAATGACTGTGAAAACAAACCATCAAGTCATGATCTTTTAACACTGATGGCGTATTAAGGATGACTCCATATGAAATTGAAAACTCTTCCCTGATTTTTCCATTTTCATTACCATTTAGACGTATGTTAGCCGTTATGTCATAAAAAGTTTGAATAGCTGATTGAATTGAGCGCACTCAAAGCCTTCATTCTGTTAACATTTACCCTTACAACTGGCTGTATTATAAACGGGGTTACAGGTTCCAACACTCTTGGTTCACGAACAGATTAGTGAAACCTTAAATTACTTTTTTTCTTCAAAAATATCCATCTTATTTTATCCGAACTTCGTAGTCATGATACGTGTGAAGAGATTACGATGTCATCTAAGATCGGCTAATGGAACGGAAGTCGGAGACACAACAATGGAACAAAATTTCCGTGAGATAATGGTAATGTTTAATGTTGTATCGATTTGCAATATAAATGAATGCCCATTATTAAAAAGAGTAACTAATTTCCTCTCACCTGGGGTTGTGATCTGATAGGACGTTAAAAGGCTCGACGAATCTGTGCAGGATTTGGATGCAGGCTTTTTAGTGCTTCTGTACGGATAAGGTGGTCAATTTGTTTTCTTGTTTTGTGACTAATGGATTTCTATTTCCTTCAACGATGTTGTTTAACCGGACAGGTTCGTACAATCGACACTTTAACCGCGTTCTAATATGTTATATCTGTGTCCGAGTGGATTATTAGTTGATGGGTGAGGTGATGAGACCGTCAATTAGAGAGCAGCGAATTATCGACTGGGTGCTAACCGATCCTGCGATCTGTCTAACCCAGCCAGTTGAGTCCAGAACACAAATAACAGCCTCGGTAATATGAATCATTATTCACGAGCATGCTGGGTTTATATACTAACCAAACAGACCAAATTATACCAAAAAATAGAAAAATAATATTTGTACAATAATTGGCCAATGTGGCTGTGGATAGGGGGAAAGTAATCAATAATAATAGTTCAAAGGTCAAAATAAGGGTTATGATAAGAGGAACACGAATACGATTAGGTCAGTTATTTAACAACTATACAATAGGGAATAGGCATATTACATTTGTCCATAAATATACCTCAGATTTACCATTCATAATTCGCCAGGGGATATAACACCTCCCCTTTTTGAGAAATCCGGAGTTGATATCCGGATTTTACATTTCTCGAATTCCCCCTCCCCCACGAAAGACTGTTGGATCCTCATATAGCCAAGTTACTATTAATTCGATATGTTTGTCATGTTTGACACAATTACCAGGGAATCCATTAGAACTGACGAGATCATGAGGATCGACGACATTTGATTTGAGGTCACCAGCGTTTGATTCTTGTGAAACAGGTTGCTTGAATTTTTTTGGAACCTCATTGGCAGATAATGGATCATTTGGCACCACTGTATCCACTTTACTGCTCGATTTGTCTCCCGTTTCTTCGTGGGCGGGTACTGCAGCAATTTCATGAGCATTTGACATGGCATCATGTTGCTGAGAGCTGTGAGCATCACTGTTCGGACCTGCTAATTCAGGGATAGTGGTGTTTGAATCCACTACCGGGCACGTTTCTGAAATGGATAGTGCTGGACAACCGGGCGTCTCTTGAGAGACTGCTGTTTCGTTTGAGTTGTGGCTGGTCGAGGATTCATGGAGGCTGTGATCATTTTCCAGCTCTGCGTGAAATTCAGTGATTAATCCATCCACTTCCGACGCATATGCAAAGCATTGGTGATCCAGAAGCTGTGTGCGTAGTTTGACCATGAACTCCAAATGTCGGTCAAATAGCAACTGCAATCGGTAAGAAGGGAGCGTCATTTTTCACTTTTTTTTGTCCCCGTCGCCAATTGTTATATCTGTGGCCGAGTGGATTATTAGTTGATGGGTGAGGTGATGAGACCGTCAATTAGAGAGCAGCGAATTATCGACTGGGTGCTAACCGATCCTGCGATCTGTCTAACCCAGCCAGTTGAGTCCAGAACACAAATAACAGCCTCGGTAATATGAATCATTATTCACGAGCATGCTGGGTTTATATACTAACCAAACAGACCAAATTATACCAAAAAATAGAAAAATAATATTTGTACAATAATTGGCCAATGTGGCTGTGGATAGGGGGAAAGTAATCAATAATAATAGTTCAAAGGTCAAAATAAGGGTTATGATAAGAGGAACACGAATACGATTAGGTCAGTTATTTAACAACTATACAATAGGGAATAGGCATATTACATTTGTCCATAAATATACCTCAGATTTACCATTCATAATTCGCCAGGGGATATAACACCTCCCCTTTTTGAGAAATCCGGAGTTGATATCCGGATTTTAAATTTCTCGAATTCCCCCTCCCCCACGAAAGACTGTTGGATCCTCATATAGCCAAGTTACTATTAATTCGATATGTTTGTCATGTTTGACACAATTAACAGGGAATCCATTAGAACTGACGAGATCATGAGGATCGACGACATTTGATTTGAGGTCACCAGCGTTTGATTCTTGTGAAACAGGTTGCTTGAATTTTTTTGGAACCTCATTGGCAGATAATGGATCATTTGGCACCACTGTATCCACTTTACTGCTCGATTTGTCTCCCGTTTCTTCGTGGGCGGGTACTGCAGCAATTTCATGAGCATTTGACATGGCATCATGTTGCTGAGAGCTGTGAGCATCACTGTTCGGACCTGCTAATTCAGGGATAGTGGTGTTTGAATCCACTACCGGGCACGTTTCTGAAATGGATAGTGCTGGACAACCGGGCGTCTCTTGAGAGACTGCTGTTTCGTTTGAGTTGTGGCTGGTCGAGGATTCATGGAGGCTGTGATCATTTTCCAGCTCTGCGTGAAATTCAGTGATTAATCCATCCACTTCCGACGCATATGCAAAGCATTGGTGATCCAGAAGCTGTGTGCGTAGTTTGACCATGAACTCCAAATGTCGGTCAAATAGCAACTGCAATCGGTAAGAAGGGAGCGTCATTTTTCACTTTTTTTTGTCCCCGTCGCCAATTGTTATATCTGTGGCCGAGTGGATTATTAGTTGATGGGTGAGGTGATGAGACCGTCAATTAGAGAGCAGCGAATTATCGACTGGGTGCTAACCGATCCTGCGATCTGTCTAACCCAGCCAGTTGAGTCCAGAACACAAATAACAGCCTCGGTAATATGAATCATTATTCACGAGCATACTGGGTTTATATACTAACCAAACAGACCAAATTATACCAAAAAATAGAAAAATAATATTTGTACAATAATTGGCCAATGTGGCTGTGGATAGGGGGAAAGTAATCAATAATAATAGTTCAAAGGTCAAAATAAGGGTTATGATAAGAGGAACACGAATACGATTAGGTCAGTTATTTAACAACTATACAATAGGGAATAGGCATATTACATTTGTCCATAAATATACCTCAGATTTACCATTCATAATTCGCCAGGGGATATAACACCTCCCCTTTTTGAGAAATCCGGAGTTGATATCCGGATTTTAAATTTCTCGAATTCCCCCTCCCCCACGAAAGACTGTTGGATCCTCATATAGCCAAGTTACTATTAATTCGATATGTTTGTCATGTTTGACACAATTAACAGGGAATCCATTAGAACTGACGAGATCATGAGGATCGACGACATTTGATTTGAGGTCACCAGCGTTTGATTCTTGTGAAACAGGTTGCTTGAATTTTTTTGGAACCTCATTGGCAGATAATGGATCATTTGGCACCACTGTATCCACTTTACTGCTCGATTTGTCTCCCGTTTCTTCGTGGGCGGGTACTGCAGCAATTTCATGAGCATTTGACATGGCATCATGTTGCTGAGAGCTGTGAGCATCACTGTTCGGACCTGCTAATTCAGGGATAGTGGTGTTTGAATCCACTACCGGGCACGTTTCTGAAATGGATAGTGCTGGACAACCGGGCGTCTCTTGAGAGACTGCTGTTTCGTTTGAGTTGTGGCTGGTCGAGGATTCATGGAGGCTGTGATCATTTTCCAGCTCTGCGTGAAATTCAGTGATTAATCCATCCACTTCCGACGCATATGCAAAGCATTGGTGATCCAGAAGCTGTGTGCGTAGTTTGACCATGAACTCCAAATGTCGGTCAAATAGCAACTGCAATCGGTAAGAAGGGAGCGTCATTTTTCACTTTTTTTTGTCCCCGTCGCCAATTGTTATATCTGTGGCCGAGTGGATTATTAGTTGATGGGTGAGGTGATGAGACCGTCAATTAGAGAGCAGCGAATTATCGACTGGGTGCTAACCGATCCTGCGATCTGTCTAACCCAGCCAGTTGAGTCCAGAACACAAATAACAGCCTCGGTAATATGAATCATTATTCACGAGCATACTGGGTTTATATACTAACCAAACAGACCAAATTATACCAAAAAATAGAAAAATAATATTTGTACAATAATTGGCCAATGTGGCTGTGGATAGGGGGAAAGTAATCAATAATAATAGTTCAAAGGTCAAAATAAGGGTTATGATAAGAGGAACACGAATACGATTAGGTCAGTTATTTAACAACTATACAATAGGGAATAGGCATATTACATTTGTCCATAAATATACCTCAGATTTACCATTCATAATTCGCCAGGGGATATAACACCTCCCCTTTTTGAGAAATCCGGAGTTGATATCCGGATTTTAAATTTCTCGAATTCCCCCTCCCCCACGAAAGACTGTTGGATCCTCATATAGCCAAGTTACTATTAATTCGATATGTTTGTCATGTTTGACACAATTAACAGGGAATCCATTAGAACTGACGAGATCATGAGGATCGACGACATTTGATTTGAGGTCACCAGCGTTTGATTCTTGTGAAACAGGTTGCTTGAATTTTTTTGGAACCTCATTGGCAGATAATGGATCATTTGGCACCACTGTATCCACTTTACTGCTCGATTTGTCTCCCGTTTCTTCGTGGGCGGGTACTGCAGCAATTTCATGAGCATTTGACATGGCATCATGTTGCTGAGAGCTGTGAGCATCACTGTTCGGACCTGCTAATTCAGGGATAGTGGTGTTTGAATCCACTACCGGGCACGTTTCTGAAATGGATAGTGCTGGACAACCGGGCGTCTCTTGAGAGACTGCTGTTTCGTTTGAGTTGTGGCTGGTCGAGGATTCATGGAGGCTGTGATCATTTTCCAGCTCTGCGTGAAATTCAGTGATTAATCCATCCACTTCCGACGCATATGCAAAGCATTGGTGATCCAGAAGCTGTGTGCGTAGTTTGACCATGAACTCCAAATGTCGGTCAAATAGCAACTGCAATCGGTAAGAAGGGAGCGTCATTTTTCACTTTTTTTTGTCCCCGTCGCCAATTGTTATATCTGTGGCCGAGTGGATTATTAGTTGATGGGTGAGGTGATGAGACCGTCAATTAGAGAGCAGCGAATTATCGACTGGGTGCTAACCGATCCTGCGATCTGTCTAACCCAGCCAGTTGAGTCCAGAACACAAATAACAGCCTCGGTAATATGAATCATTATTCACGAGCATACTGGGTTTATATACTAACCAAACAGACCAAATTATACCAAAAAATAGAAAAATAATATTTGTACAATAATTGGCCAATGTGGCTGTGGATAGGGGGAAAGTAATCAATAATAATAGTTCAAAGGTCAAAATAAGGGTTATGATAAGAGGAACACGAATACGATTAGGTCAGTTATTTAACAACTATACAATAGGGAATAGGCATATTACATTTGTCCATAAATATACCTCAGATTTACCATTCATAATTCGCCAGGGGATATAACACCTCCCCTTTTTGAGAAATCCGGAGTTGATATCCGGATTTTAAATTTCTCGAATTCCCCCTCCCCCACGAAAGACTGTTGGATCCTCATATAGCCAAGTTACTATTAATTCGATATGTTTGTCATGTTTGACACAATTAACAGGGAATCCATTAGAACTGACGAGATCATGAGGATCGACGACATTTGATTTGAGGTCACCAGCGTTTGATTCTTGTGAAACAGGTTGCTTGAATTTTTTTGGAACCTCATTGGCAGATAATGGATCATTTGGCACCACTGTATCCACTTTACTGCTCGATTTGTCTCCCGTTTCTTCGTGGGCGGGTACTGCAGCAATTTCATGAGCATTTGACATGGCATCATGTTGCTGAGAGCTGTGAGCATCACTGTTCGGACCTGCTAATTCAGGGATAGTGGTGTTTGAATCCACTACCGGGCACGTTTCTGAAATGGATAGTGCTGGACAACCGGGCGTCTCTTGAGAGACTGCTGTTTCGTTTGAGTTGTGGCTGGTCGAGGATTCATGGAGGCTGTGATCATTTTCCAGCTCTGCGTGAAATTCAGTGATTAATCCATCCACTTCCGACGCATATGCAAAGCATTGGTGATCCAGAAGCTGTGTGCGTAGTTTGACCATGAACTCCAAATGTCGGTCAAATAGCAACTGCAATCGGTAAGAAGGGAGCGTCATTTTTCACTTTTTTTTGTCCCCGTCGCCAATTGTTATATCTGTGGCCGAGTGGATTATTAGTTGATGGGTGAGGTGATGAGACCGTCAATTAGAGAGCAGCGAATTATCGACTGGGTGCTAACCGATCCTGCGATCTGTCTAACCCAGCCAGTTGAGTCCAGAACACAAATAACAGCCTCGGTAATATGAATCATTATTCACGAGCATACTGGGTTTATATACTAACCAAACAGACCAAATTATACCAAAAAATAGAAAAATAATATTTGTACAATAATTGGCCAATGTGGCTGTGGATAGGGGGAAAGTAATCAATAATAATAGTTCAAAGGTCAAAATAAGGGTTATGATAAGAGGAACACGAATACGATTAGGTCAGTTATTTAACAACTATACAATAGGGAATAGGCATATTACATTTGTCCATAAATATACCTCAGATTTACCATTCATAATTCGCCAGGGGATATAACACCTCCCCTTTTTGAGAAATCCGGAGTTGATATCCGGATTTTAAATTTCTCGAATTCCCCCTCCCCCACGAAAGACTGTTGGATCCTCATATAGCCAAGTTACTATTAATTCGATATGTTTGTCATGTTTGACACAATTAACAGGGAATCCATTAGAACTGACGAGATCATGAGGATCGACGACATTTGATTTGAGGTCACCAGCGTTTGATTCTTGTGAAACAGGTTGCTTGAATTTTTTTGGAACCTCATTGGCAGATAATGGATCATTTGGCACCACTGTATCCACTTTACTGCTCGATTTGTCTCCCGTTTCTTCGTGGGCGGGTACTGCAGCAATTTCATGAGCATTTGACATGGCATCATGTTGCTGAGAGCTGTGAGCATCACTGTTCGGACCTGCTAATTCAGGGATAGTGGTGTTTGAATCCACTACCGGGCACGTTTCTGAAATGGATAGTGCTGGACAACCGGGCGTCTCTTGAGAGACTGCTGTTTCGTTTGAGTTGTGGCTGGTCGAGGATTCATGGAGGCTGTGATCATTTTCCAGCTCTGCGTGAAATTCAGTGATTAATCCATCCACTTCCGACGCATATGCAAAGCATTGGTGATCCAGAAGCTGTGTGCGTAGTTTGACCATGAACTCCAAATGTCGGTCAAATAGCAACTGCAATCGGTAAGAAGGGAGCGTCATTTTTCACTTTTTTTTGTCCCCGTCGCCAATTGTTATATCTGTGGCCGAGTGGATTATTAGTTGATGGGTGAGGTGATGAGACCGTCAATTAGAGAGCAGCGAATTATCGACTGGGTGCTAACCGATCCTGCGATCTGTCTAACCCAGCCAGTTGAGTCCAGAACACAAATAACAGCCTCGGTAATATGAATCATTATTCACGAGCATACTGGGTTTATATACTAACCAAACAGACCAAATTATACCAAAAAATAGAAAAATAATATTTGTACAATAATTGGCCAATGTGGCTGTGGATAGGGGGAAAGTAATCAATAATAATAGTTCAAAGGTCAAAATAAGGGTTATGATAAGAGGAACACGAATACGATTAGGTCAGTTATTTAACAACTATACAATAGGGAATAGGCATATTACATTTGTCCATAAATATACCTCAGATTTACCATTCATAATTCGCCAGGGGATATAACACCTCCCCTTTTTGAGAAATCCGGAGTTGATATCCGGATTTTAAATTTCTCGAATTCCCCCTCCCCCACGAAAGACTGTTGGATCCTCATATAGCCAAGTTACTATTAATTCGATATGTTTGTCATGTTTGACACAATTAACAGGGAATCCATTAGAACTGACGAGATCATGAGGATCGACGACATTTGATTTGAGGTCACCAGCGTTTGATTCTTGTGAAACAGGTTGCTTGAATTTTTTTGGAACCTCATTGGCAGATAATGGATCATTTGGCACCACTGTATCCACTTTACTGCTCGATTTGTCTCCCGTTTCTTCGTGGGCGGGTACTGCAGCAATTTCATGAGCATTTGACATGGCATCATGTTGCTGAGAGCTGTGAGCATCACTGTTCGGACCTGCTAATTCAGGGATAGTGGTGTTTGAATCCACTACCGGGCACGTTTCTGAAATGGATAGTGCTGGACAACCGGGCGTCTCTTGAGAGACTGCTGTTTCGTTTGAGTTGTGGCTGGTCGAGGATTCATGGAGGCTGTGATCATTTTCCAGCTCTGCGTGAAATTCAGTGATTAATCCATCCACTTCCGACGCATATGCAAAGCATTGGTGATCCAGAAGCTGTGTGCGTAGTTTGACCATGAACTCCAAATGTCGGTCAAATAGCAACTGCAATCGGTAAGAAGGGAGCGTCATTTTTCACTTTTTTTTGTCCCCGTCGCCAATTGTTATATCTGTGGCCGAGTGGATTATTAGTTGATGGGTGAGGTGATGAGACCGTCAATTAGAGAGCAGCGAATTATCGACTGGGTGCTAACCGATCCTGCGATCTGTCTAACCCAGCCAGTTGAGTCCAGAACACAAATAACAGCCTCGGTAATATGAATCATTATTCACGAGCATACTGGGTTTATATACTAACCAAACAGACCAAATTATACCAAAAAATAGAAAAATAATATTTGTACAATAATTGGCCAATGTGGCTGTGGATAGGGGGAAAGTAATCAATAATAATAGTTCAAAGGTCAAAATAAGGGTTATGATAAGAGGAACACGAATACGATTAGGTCAGTTATTTAACAACTATACAATAGGGAATAGGCATATTACATTTGTCCATAAATATACCTCAGATTTACCATTCATAATTCGCCAGGGGATATATCATAATATCACTAAACTTTTGCAACCGGAGACTGCAGATGAGGATGAAGGCTTTAAAATGATCTTCATTCAACGACCTCAGTTGGAAGCGTTCTTATTCACCCACATGGGTAAAAAGTCAACATTTGCGTTCATAATCAGCTTTAAATATTGATATCGTGTATTGAATAATGAGGAGTCATCTCCAAACTGTTGGCTTAATGATTGGATAATGTCAGAAAATGAGCAGTTACGTTCAGAGGCAAAATCAAAGTTAAATAGACCCTCATGAAGCTGGGACCACATGTCAAATGTAACATTAGTATCGGGATCGTACTGAAAACCGGTAATGCTGTTTGCGGTGCTATCAGTTGACCGTGTAGTAGTAATAGATGTTGACGTGGATTTGTTCTCTGAGCTGGATGGTTTGGTCGTGGAACTTTCATCGTCCTGAATTGAAGTGTTTAAATTTCTCCACATGTGATTTACAGCTTGTCCTGTGCACCTCGATGTTGATTGGTTCTTATTGACCTTAAATCTGTTATTGTTTATTTCTTTGTTTTGGTTATATCGCCTATTGGTTTGATTTTTGCTCCTATGTTTCTGCATAATTTTCTTGATTGGTTGATAGATTGGATTGATTTCAATGTGTTTGTTTATTGCTGATTGACCTGAGTGCCAAGCTTCTAAAAATTCTCTGGTGATTTTGGAATTGTCTCCGTCCAGAATCTGCACATTTTTCCAGTCGAATGTATGTCCGTAGTTGTCCACGTGTATTGATATGAGTGAAGAAATGTCGTGGCGTTTGACTGCTAATTGATGTTCATGTAAGCAAAGATGCAAGGGGCGTCCGCTTTGTCCACCATCTCTAGTAATAGATGTGCTAGGTTTCAAGGTAGGCGTAATTTTTGTATCTGTTAACATCTGGTTAAGTTTAAACCGCCGTTCCAGCGATAATTTCACTTTTGCAGGATCCACGCTTGCATCAGCCTCTTCGCCACTGCTGCGTTTTGGAGAAATTACGATATCATCTAATAGTGGCGAACGTAATGAAACTCAGCGACATAACATCAAAACGAGCTTAGTTACTCCACTGCTCCTCAGTCGTGCTAACTAGATGGAAAAGACCAGATCCAGCCGAAAAATATATATTCCACAATTAATCCGGAAGCATGAACGAACAAGCACAACTCATGAGTATATATACAGCGCAAAAACGTTCCTGGAAAAACGTCACAAAACAGCGTAATGAAAGAGGAAACGAACCTGTTATTACTATTAATATATAGTCCTTATTACGACCCAGCTATTCCTACTGCTTAGCATTCTTGGACACCAATACCCTCGACAAGTCCCCAAATCAGAACACGGTTGAACAGGGAAAAATTATATTCCAAATAACGGGAATAGATGAAGTAGTAAGCGCAATACGAAATACGTTAGTATATTTATAGATTTTACATGAGAAGCTTCTAAAGTCTTCTCCGAGCAACGACTAGAGCTGATTGGATAAGAATTAACCAATCAGCCTGCAGCAACACCATGCATAAACATGATTTAATCCAATCTATGTCCCGCTAACAGAACCAATGACACCTGAAGTCCTTCCAAATGGGAAATACAAACTGAAGGTAAAAATGGGCGCTTTTGACGCGAAAATGAGAAATTCAAATTTCCATAGTAAAATTACATAAATATGACGTTTACTATGTGATTCCTGGGGGGGGGGTCTAGCATCCCCAACAAGTCAGCAATAATCTAATTGTCCAGCAAGCAGACTCGTTTTATCAGATAGAACTGCCTCTTCAAGATTATTATAATGAATTAAATATAAGTTTATCTGTTTTGTAGAAGCTGCTTATTCGACTTCATATAAAACATCTATTTCAGGTTCTAAAATAACATTTGTAAATGTTTGAATTTTACTGACCGTCAGTTATGAACCCGTTATGTGTTTAATACTGCTGTATTGAATGACAATTTTTAAACATTGTATCAATTGAGTATGGGTTTTACTGCCACTTCTTATCCACATGTAGGTTGTTTTCACTACTCCTGTTCTTTTCCGATTCAGTCATTATTTAAATGACTCTTTTCATTTAGGATTACGGACGGAGTCTTCATAGTATTTCCTACAATGCCAAAACTCTGTATCGCATAAATCCAGATTATATTCTGAATTTCACGTCTAAATTCACTGATGATGAGATCAGACAACAGCTTGCTCGCAACAGTGTGTAAGTAACACATGTATTTTGAGGTGTTTATGAACGGTGTTACTAATAAGTAAAATTTACCTGTCTCACTCTTCCAAGCGACGGTAGCACAAACATAAATAAAAATAAAATTTACGCAATCTTCGCAAACAATTGCGGCAGCTAATGCAAAAATACAAAGGTATCGTAGATAATTAACAGTATAAACTGGGATCTGGACGGAATCCCATTTGACTAGTCTCGATTGTTGATCGTACTAGTTTATTAGCAAAGACCAAAATTCTTTCTTGATAACCGTAGAGTAATCAGTTCGGTCAATATGGAGTCTACAATACCAGTTTGTATAACCGTGAGACGATTATCTGCCATTTGGAGAAAGCAAATTAAGGGATACCAAACCGGCATCAATTTTAGATGTGGATTTACTAACCAGATATTCACTTCTCTCCATGTTTCAGAGCATAAGTTTAATTACTGAATTCCTTTTATAGTTGTATTCCTTGACCTTAAGACAGCGTTCAATTTCGTTGGTCGAGAGGTTTTGTAGCATTGTTTGTCATTGAAAGATGTACCAATGAAGTAAATATACCTTGTGAAAGCTCTACTGGAACACTATTGATGGCGTCGTGGTTCTTCAGGAAACATCACCAGAATTTTCAGCTTCGAGTGGCGTTCGTCAGGGTTTTTCACTGTTCCACTTTTATCTAGTTTTGTCATAGACGCCGTCCTACAATTCACACATCCTTCACGTAGTTTTCAGGGGTTGATTTCCTCCCGAGAGATTTACTTGTGGACTTAGAATATGCCGAGGATGTGGTTTTATTTGTTGTTGGAGCTGATAGGATGCGCAGCTTTCTGACCGTCTTGAGCAATATTACAAGGATATCTGGGATTTGTTTCTCTACCTCCATATGCAAAATGTTACTTCAGGATTGGTCTGTATCGACGCCTGAGCTGATGATAGTGAGTAAAGTAGTTGAGCGCGTTGATTACTCCAATTATCTTGAAAGTTGAACCAAACCTAGTGGGTTGGTGTCTGACAAAATCTCGACACATTTCAAACAGTTCGGTTAGCTTTTGCTAACTTGTGACGGTAGCGAGATGTCTGTCCACCGACCTAAGGAGCATTATGCTCCTCAGCAGTTCGTTCTGTTCTACTCTCTGGATATGAAACGTAGCCTTTAAAAGTAGAGAAGGAAATTCGTACGTCGATACTCATTGAACATAGATATCTTTGGAGTATTGCATGCGTATGTTGGGATCATCTAGTGAGCAAAGCTGGGTTTAGGCGCAGAGTACTGAGTAGAGATGGCAAATTAGTTGATGCGGTTAAATATTTCACAGACTTATAGATTCTAGGGAGGTTTCCAAAATCTAGCGGACTACCCTGGCTTTTGAGGTTCAAGAAAACCTAGTCTTACAAAAATACAGTACGGGGTGATTTTACTGTATGAAGGCAATAGGCAGGAGGAAGGTATGTTCGTTGTGAGAAGTTACAAAGTGATATGGAAACCCGGTCAAAAGTAGCCTTGTGAGAAGGTCAATCGATGAAAATCAGAAGTAACCTAAAGGATAAGTGCATTTCATTGGCAAAGAAATCGATCAATTTCCTAAAAATTAGAGTGATATATATTCGGTAGCCCAGTACACTTTTTCGCGTACTCTTGTGTTCTCACTCAAGTAGTCAGTTGGAGTGTAAACACGTAGCACACTGTGTGTCAGTATGAGAATGCATAGTTTATCAAATAGATTTCGCGAGTTTTAACATAGATCATGTTTACTCCTAAATTCATTTATTTTATTTCAGTTCTGAACGTCGTTCAGTTGCCAGTCAGTTACTTGACAGCATGAGGTTTGCATTAGATATGTCTCCAACCATGGTTACATCCGGTTATAATTGGTCTACAAACTTGACTGCGAATTCTGAATTTCTGTCAACTTCAACTTCCAAAAAGCTAAAAACAGTCTCCGTATTTCTCCATTTAATCGCGGAAATCGCCCGCCAAACCCCTTCTGTTATCGATTTATTAAGATCCGGCAAAGAAACTGAAAAGAGTTTACGGTTTTGGGTAAGTATTTACTGGTGAGGTAGGTCGTCTTATCATTTGATTTTCGGGATTTTTAAAAGACTATTGTGTAGTTTTTCGAATGATTAGTTAGGCAGTTCGTGTATATTGACTCAACATTTACGATTCTTATGGTCGTAATGTTTACTCGTGTATGTGGAATCATACAGTTCAGCTAAGTTGATGAAAAAAATCCATACACTGAGTGAATTTCCATGGACACTATTTTTATTATTTACTGTATAATGTGTCAGCAGATGTTTTAGTGAAATTATTTTGTTTTTATCATCATATTTCAAGGTACTGTTTGCTAAAATTGGTTAAATTAATTAAGTTTGGCTCACCTTAAACAAAGTCTTACGGTTCTTTTTTACTAGCATATCATGAAATCATTTCTGAAGTTGTCAGTGATAGTTTAAAATTAACTTGAATAACCAGATTTGCATATCCCAATGGGTTAACATAGGTTTGTAGGCAGCGAGTCCTGTTTCTTCATATGAAAAGCATTAAAAGATATTAAGCTAGATGCTCTGTATTCTAGATCAAGTTTGTTTGTAGTAGAATGTACGCTTTAGTCACCATTGAATACAAAATTTGATGGGAAACCGATGTATGACAATCCGAAATCCATACATTCGAGAACTTTTGACTGAACATGCTTTATGTCAAATTTTGAATACACTTTTGATGTTAACATAAGTAAATAAAATCTTCATTAAAAATGGGGTGGAATATCTTCAATACATACTTTAATTCTTAATGAATCAATTCTTTGGAGTTAGTATTCATCTCAATCTAACACTGACTAAAGAACCAACATAAATCAGGCAGCTCTGGGTAGCTGTATTGTCGTGATATGCGACTCCTCATCATAACCTAAACAAGACCTCGTCAGAGATCAAGCGTAGAACTTTCAGGTTATATAGCGGGAGTGATACCCCAGGAAATATGATACATTTGATCCTGACTCACTTTTTTCTTTGTCTCGTACTTGCGGTGAAACGCGAGAGTCGTGTATTTGATCTGCACCAGGGTTGAAATTTGATGTCACTGAAAACTGTCACTGTTGAACGAAACAAATGTTCAATGGTCATCATCATCCGGTGTTACAGTGTGACAAAAACTGTCTTTAAAGTAAAGAATATCCACAAGCTTGATAATAAGGTTTTGTCTTGCTCTAATATTTAACTTTATTTTGTACCGGTAGTAGATTTGTAGTTATAAAACATTTCTTACTGCCACTCGATTTGTTAGAATTATGTTGAACTAATTTCAGTATGCTTGTTAGTATATTCATAAAAATATCCCGAAAGTTACTTTGTTGAGTCTAATTCTATGTTGAAATGATATGTTTCACATGTCTTCAGACTTTTCACATATTTCACATGTCGTTTCTTATTGGTTATTATTTACGGTCATCCTAACTGTATAAATATGCATTGTCTGTAAATTATATTCAATTTTCTTCTGATCCCACAAACAATTCCCATCTAACGGTTGTGTTTTGACGTATATGAGATCGGGGAACAGGATTGCCATCGTACTGGGATATCTGGAGTTTGTCAATCGGTAGAATTTTGAGTAGCCACATCGCGGTCCACAATAATGCTGAAGTTACAGTTTGATGTAATTAGTGATCTCATACATCTACAAAGAATAAAACAATTTCAGATTATCGATTTTCCCGTTTCCCCTGAAACTTTGCTTTCACCTTAACTTATGATCTCAGTTCAATTTTATTCATAGATTTAAGTCACCGAGTAATTCTGTTATGAGAGTTAGGTATCCATTTTATTTATAAAACCTACCTTAGTGTCTCATCAGTTAAGTTTACTTGTTATTTATTTGTATGATGTTTATTTTCGTTGATATGTATTCGGCGTTGTAGTGTGTTAGTAAGGCTGTGTTGGAACTTTCGATCATTTTATTTACACTTGACTCAATATAATCCGTTTTCATGGTGTCTGTGTTGGATTTCGCAGTCTTAATTTCTGCTATTTGTGTATTATTTTTTAAGCATTTATCTTCAGATACCGCCAACATAACAATGAATAGTTCACAAGGGAAGGTGATCAAGTTTTCCATTAAACCAAAGCAATCAGGTTAGATCATAAAAATTATGTTAACCATTCTGACTTCTTATGACTATATTTACGAATTAAGGTTAGCTTACTTTCATAACGTATGTTTTCTGCGTAACAACTGAATCTTGTAGTTTTTTAACATCATAATTCTCAGCCACTTACCGTACGGTCTACATTTTTCTGTTTTACAAACCAGAAAATTTTCCTTACTACATAATTTAATGCATTGCATGTACCTTGATATGTGCTACTAATAAACTTAAAAGTGTTTTTATTTCAGTGGACTAATATAGTACTTGTTATAAGTACTCAGTATTCATTAGTAACTAATTGAAAGTATTTATATCATTATTGGTAAGGAATTAGGTTATTCATTTGTTGATATTCACGATTGTTCATTGACATATTTATGCCTTGCAGATTCCGTCCATAAAGCAATTTAACACAAGTTTTATAGAATAAATAGATTGTGGGTAGTAGTAGAATCCAGGACCCCCGTTTCCTTCCCGTGTGAAACTTATCATCTGGAAGTACCGGAATCTCGGTCCTGATGTTCACATTGGGACTCAAGCCCAGTACCTGTTTAAACGCGAATGAGTTATCGACCTAGCTGCTCAGTCCAGCCGAAGTTTATTTTTTGGGTAGTTTAAAGTTATTATAAGATTTTATATCAAAATTGTCAGTCAGTCAGAATTTGATTTGCGCTCACGAGTTTAATTTACTGATCTAGAAAGTATCCACTTTTGTTCTGAATCAGTATTTTCCAATGCGGTTATTTATTTTATTGTTTTACCTGAAAATTAGAACCAGGAGTGTGGAAGTTTTGCTGGATATTTTGCTCAGAATGCCATTATTCAGAGCCTTTTGTTCATATGTTTTTAATCATTGATAATACATATGACACATAGTCAGTCGTTATTGGTCAATCTTCTACATAATAGTGAGATTACATCTCAAGCATTCAAAATTCCATTTATTTTATTAACATGGAATTTCAAACACTGTCCACTTATTACTGTTTTTCTGGTGGTGTTTAATTTCACAGAAATGCATGATACATTCATCGCTGTAATTCCAGCTGCCAACTTTCCAGGAGTTCTGATACAACTAGACAATATCAAAAAAATGACAACACCTTCCCTAGACTCAGATGTTGTATTGGTCGACACAAACAACGGTCTATCTTTCACTCTATCTGTGGATTTATCTCAGGTGATAATTTATAATCGTCCTAGCATTTATCATCTTTTTTTATCAAAGTTCTAAGTTTGTTGTTTATCGGTTTTTATAGATTATGGATTGCTTACACTTAGCTAGTAGCCTGTGTTTAAAATTTAATTTGGTACTAGGCCTTTAGTGCTATTCTTAGGAGGTGGCATTTTCAAAACTAGTTTTCTGTCCAATATATGTGATTGATTCTAAATAAGGGTTGTCGTTTAACTTAGCGGTCTAATAATATTGTTGTCTGCTGCATCGTGATAAGTAATTTGTAGTTTATGCAACCCATTGGGTAACCTACAAAATAGGTCCTTCGAAATCTCATCTTTCAAGACTCGCACAATTCCTTTTCATACAGAAAATATTAACAGATATCAGTACTGCATCAAAAGATAACTGCTTTCATTATTCGTAACATTCTCAACATATCTTTTTGGTCATTGATTAGGCTCATTTTCTATGGATTAGGATTTTGTTTGACTGTGTTGGATCATATATGAGTTTGTCAGTTTTGTAACGAGTGCTCTTTAGGATGAAAAAAATTCTGACTTTTGAATTGTACAACTATTATGGCGTGTCTATATAAATTCTACTGTCAGCTATGAATGTAATATGCGCCACACAATAGCAGAGAGGTCAGTAGGAGTTATCATTGATTTATGTAAGGGCTGTGATACTGCCCAGATGCTCGAACCGAAGCAGGTGATTTTCTAAGGCACCACACCCCGAGATTTTGACCTGAAGGTCTAATCCATATAGCAATGAAGCAATGTCAGGAGATGCGGTCCCATAGTAGCCAGTGACCAACAATAGGTCCATACGCCATTTGTTCCCTCAGGGTTCTAGAGCCTATATGCACCATTGGTTTGGAACCAGGGTTTTCCGACACGTTTAGGTAGACCCTCCGTGTCCACCAACCCGGTTAAAGCACCGGACATTCACTTTTCGCCCTTTCAATTTCGTAAACACCCCTGTCGTGAGAAGGCAGTTAATAGGTATTCCCTGTCAGTGGCTGTATACGCGTGGCCATATGAAAAGCGTTTGGAGACGGAGAGCAAACTCTTCCGCCCCTCTACCCTACCATGGCTTTTTGGGCCTTATCTGTCAAACTTTGATTTTGTTTAATCTATTTATTGTAATATGATTCTTTTGTATTTACAATTTACAGTAGACAACTTCAGCGTTTTACGATTTCTTTCAGCGTTTTTGGATTCCTTCAGTTTTTTAAAATACTTTGTTTCATAGTTCTCAACTTGATAGATTGGAATCATTATTGATATTTTATTTTAGAAACCGAATATTACTGTATCATGTGAACAACTAAAACAGGATCCGTAAGTCTAGTTTTGGTACTGGTTACATCATGTTTTGTTGTTTTGTAGTGTTTCATTTATTCTAGACTCTTCAGCCCCTAATCATTTCAGTATATTTTTATCGCTACACCAATGAGTCTTTAAAATTATTTAGAAAAGTTATTTATTTATGTGTTGTGTTCTTTATCTTAATTACGATTATAATCCACTTATTCCCTACATTTCAACTCTGAGTGATTTATGCGTCTATCTATTTCCATCCTAAGTAATGAGCTTTTTTTGAATAAGAATCTCTGCTTTTTGTTGACATTTACCACTTAAACTGTTGTTTTTCATCTTGAGACAGAAATCGTCCTTTATTTCAGTAATACTCCAATCCTATGACTTAAAATTTCAATCATTTGCTGTATGCTATTAATGTTCGTTTCAAATACAGAAAAATGTGCCACTTTATTTTTTGGAGCCGTTTTATTCAGTAATATTTTGTAATTTATGAGCAAAATATAAGCACACAACCAAAAACCCATGTAACTGTTATCTTTTTGAAATAATAATATTCATCATTCTGATTTTCCAACTGGTTGCCTTGTTGTGATCATATGACTGTAAATTTATTTAGGATATTTTTGCTAATCTGCTTACCGTTATGACTCATTTTCGCCACTAAACTACCCATTTGTTACTGCTACAGTTTTATGTCCTGCTTTTGCGTCCTCATACACTAATTTTATTTTTGATGTTTGTAGTTTGTTTCTGTTCATTGCTATGACGGCATTTTAACGGATCTAGTATGTTAGTCAGATTTATTGATTATCCTACAGGTTAAAAATTAATAATGATGCTTTGTTTCAAATCTCACGTCTAGTTCTTACTATACTCTTCTTGAACTAGCAAATTTAAAGAACTTTGGAATGATGGGAATTGCAAAACAATTGTCGTCGGTTCTAATTTTGAATGCCAATGTCTTCCAGCTCAGGGTGGAACATTCGCGATCGCTTTGGTTTACTGGTTAGGGTCGTCACATGTAAGTTATGTGTATACATTGGATTTACAGTTTCAGATGAGTATTAGGGATTATTTTTAGTGTTTTTAGTAGCTTGATTCATACTTATCCGTCTGTGAGGACGGTCCACAGGTGAAGTTGAGGAAGCTCTGAGAAGCCCAGAAGGAGCCGAACATATTCCATCCAATCAGCTTCGGGAAGAATATTCTAGAATCACTACGCGTAGCTTCCCTATTGGACAATGCTGATAACTCCCTGTGCGCAGATTGGATGACTAAACTATAAATACCTGACAGTTTTGCACCATAATTGACACTGTTTGGAATAACATTCTTTCTGCTTGTCTTCTGTCTTCTGATTTTGCGACTTGGGAGGGTTCTAGCGTTCTGGTGCTCAAGTATTACGCGACATACTAAAAATCTATGTTCAAGATATAACACATCTTAGTTTTTTAACTGGTTAGGAAAACTGCCCAATATCTGTAATTTTTAAACAAAGAAAAACGTTTAACTTCTTTTTAAATTTTCTATTATCAAACTAAATGGCTTTTAATTTCTCGAAATATTTTTATTTTGAATAATCGCTCCAATTAATACTTTTTTGTGTTTTTCAGATTCCATTAACACATGTGTACTCCATAAGTATTGTGAATTATATTTTTATTTTCGTAACTATTGTCGCTTTATTCCTGTTTTTAATATTCACCCGTTTCATGTAAGTTAGTATTCTGTAGTCATAGTATTTTTCTTAGTATTTTTTATTTACGTTTTAAAAGAAGTGTGAATATTTTCAGTGACTACAGTGCCTCGGTAGAAAATTCATATTTAATGAATTTCATCGTAACCTCGATAGTCAAAAAGTACCAAGAATTTTGCTCACACTTTAATTCAATCAAATGATATAACACCTCGAATCATCTTGCTCGTAAAATACAACTACAAGATGATATTTGACGTATTAAATAGTTGGTTAAGGTAAACGATTGCTGGATAGAACTATAGTCATAATGTAGAGGACGATGCTCACAGAATTGTTTGCAAATAGTATATAGCCATATGTGGCATCCAAGTAGCAACAATTGACGAATAGAGTGAAGAATTTCAGTACATCTAAAGCACGGCGTTGGTAGAACACTTAGAGACCAGATGAAAAGACAGTTCAGGTGAAAGAACGCACGAACAGATGCGAATGGACAATTAAAGACCATTTACATGTATTATCCAAATACTTTGTGTTGCGATGTGCTGTGTCCAAAATCTGATGTTGATACACGGCGTGCTATGCGCTTACCCTCCAACTGACTACTTGAGTGAGAACACAAGAGTACGCGAAAAAGTGTACTGGGCTACCGAATATATATCACTCTAATTTTTAGGAAATTGATCGATTTCTTTGCCAATGAAATGCACTTATCCTTTAGGTTACTTCTGATTTTCATCGATTGACCTTCTCACAAGGCTACTTTTGACCGGGTTTCCATATCACTTTGTAACTTCTCACAACGAACATACCTTCCTCCTGCCTATTGCCTTCATACAGTAAAATCACCCCGTACTGTATTTTTGTAAGACTAGGTTTTCTTGAACCTCAAAAGCCAGGGTAGTCCGCTAGATTTTGGAAACCTCCCTAGAATCTATAAGTCTGTGAAATATTTAACCGCATCAACTAATTTGCCATCTCTACTCAGTACTCTGCGCCTAAACCCAGCTTTGCTCACTAGATGATCCCAACATACGCATGCAATACTCCAAAGATATCTATGTTCAATGAGTATCGACGTACGAATTTCCTTCTCTACTTTTAAAGGCTACGTTTCATATCCAGAGAGTAGAACAGAACGAACTGCTGAGGAGCATAATGCTCCTTAGGTCGGTGGACAGACATCTCGCTACCGTCACAAGTTAGCAAAAGCTAACCGAACTGTTTGAAATGTGTCGAGATTTTGTCAGACACCAACCCACTAGGTTTGGTTCAACTTTCAAGATAATTGGAGTAATCAACGCGCTCAACTACTTTACTCACTATCATCAGCTCAGGCGTCGATACAGACCAATCCTGAAGTAACATTTTGCATATGGAGGTAGAGAAACAAATCCCAGATATCCTTGTAATATTGCTCAAGACGGTCAGAAAGCTGCGCATCCTATCAGCTCCAACAACAAATAAAACCACATCCTCGGCATATTCTAAGTCCACAAGTAAATCTCTCGGGAGGAAATCAACCCCTGAAAACTACGTGAAGGATGTGTGAATTGTAGGACGGCGTCTATGACAAAACTAGATAAAAGTGGAACAGTGAAAAACCCTGACGAACGCCACTCGAAGCTGAAAATTCTGGTGATGTTTCCTGAAGAACCACGACGCCATCAATAGTGTTCCAGTAGAGCTTTCACAAGGTATATTTACTTCATTGGTACATCTTTCAATGACAAACAATGCTACAAAACCTCTCGACCAACGAAATTGAACGCTGTCTTAAGGTCAAGGAATACAACTATAAAAGGAATTCAGTAATTAAACTTATGCTCTGAAACATGGAGAGAAGTGAATATCTGGTTAGTAAATCCACATCTAAAATTGATGCCGGTTTGGTATCCCTTAATTTGCTTTCTCCAAATGGCAGATAATCGTCTCACGGTTATACAAACTGGTATTGTAGACTCCATATTGACCGAACTGATTACTCTACGGTTATCAAGAAAGAATTTTGGTCTTTGCTAATAAACTAGTACGATCAACAATCGAGACTAGTCAAATGGGATTCCGTCCAGATCCCAGTTTATACTGTTAATTATCTACGATACCTTTGTATTTTTGCATTAGCTGCCGCAATTGTTTGCGAAGATTGCGTAAATTTTATTTTTATTTATGTTTGTGCTACCGTCGCTTGGAAGAGTGAGACAGGTAAATTTTACTTATTAGTAACACCGTTCATAAACACCTCAAAATACATGTGTTACTTACACACTGTTGCGAGCAAGCTGTTGTCTGATCTCATCATCAGTGAATTTAGACGTGAAATTCAGAATATAATCTGGATTTATGCGATACAGAGTTTTGGCATTGTAGGAAATACTATGAAGACTCCGTCCGTAATCCTAAATGAAAAGAGTCATTTAAATAATGACTGAATCGGAAAAGAACAGGAGTAGTGAAAACAACCTACATGTGGATAAGAAGTGGCAGTAAAACCCATACTCAATTGATACAATGTTTAAAAATTGTCATTCAATACAGCAGTATTAAACACATAACGGGTTCATAACTGACGGTCAGTAAAATTCAAACATTTACAAATGTTATTTTAGAACCTGAAATAGATGTTTTATATGAAGTCGAATAAGCAGCTTCTACAAAACAGATAAACTTATATTTAATTCATTATAATAATCTTGAAGAGGCAGTTCTATCTGATAAAACGAGTCTGCTTGCTGGACAATTAGATTATTGCTGACTTGTTGGGGATGCTAGACCCCCCCCCCCAGGAATCACATAGTAAACGTCATATTTATGTAATTTTACTATGGAAATTTGAATTTCTCATTTTCGCGTCAAAAGCGCCCATTTTTACCTTCAGTTTGTATTTCCCATTTGGAAGGACTTCAGGTGTCATTGGTTCTGTTAGCGGGACATAGATTGGATTAAATCATGTTTATGCATGGTGTTGCTGCAGGCTGATTGGTTAATTCTTATCCAATCAGCTCTAGTCGTTGCTCGGAGAAGACTTTAGAAGCTTCTCATGTAAAATCTATAAATATACTAACGTATTTCGTATTGCGCTTACTACTTCATCTATTCCCGTTATTTGGAATATAATTTTTCCCTGTTCAACCGTGTTCTGATTTGGGGACTTGTCGAGGGTATTGGTGTCCAAGAATGCTAAGCAGTAGGAATAGCTGGGTCGTAATAAGGACTATATATTAATAGTAATAACAGGTTCGTTTCCTCTTTCATTACGCTGTTTTGTGACGTTTTTCCAGGAACGTTTTTGCGCTGTATATATACTCATGAGTTGTGCTTGTTCGTTCATGCTTCCGGATTAATTGTGGAATATATATTTTTCGGCTGGATCTGGTCTTTTCCATCTAGTTAGCACGACTGAGGAGCAGTGGAGTAACTAAGCTCGTTTTGATGTTATGTCGCTGAGTTTCATTACGTTCGCCACTATTAGATGATTTCGTAATCTCTCTAATGTCTTATACACTTGGCTTCACATGAGCAGTTAAGTTGGTAAATGCACATTGAGTTGTTCAGATAAGATAATTTCTCCTTAACATTATTAATGAACAATGATCGGCTGCTAAACATTACTCACAACGTTGCTGCGAATAACTTTCTTTTTAAAGAGTCAGAAATTCTCTTTTTCAAGACGTATTTGCCTCAAGAAGAAGTTCATTAATTTGAACACCTTGTGAATATAGGTCACTCAATCAAAGCGAACTCAGTGTCCAAAGTCATCTACTAGGTAAGTAGAAGTCTTCCAAAGGCAATCATATTGCATTTTCTTAATATCGCCGAAGCAATAGCCAATAGCAAAAAGTTGAACAAATATTAACTACTTCTTTAGAGGTTTTTAGGAATATGAAGCCATTCGTAATTCCTGACAGCTTATTTTTTCTGCTATGAAAGTTTTGGTGCTTACACCCTGTGAAATCCTGAAAATTTAACTTTTGTAGAAAAAAATTTCCATTTTATTGAAATTATGATTTTTTTGTAAGTGATCATCGTGTATCTTCTTCATAATTATTTTCTTTTATTTTCAGTGGAGTTTTCAGGTTGGATCAATTCAACATAGCTTTTTGTTTAATGGTTAGCGCAATTGTTTCTTTGGCGATTCCACATACAACGGACAGTCAACCAATTTTGTGCTCTATCATCGCTGTTGCTGTTTGCTATTTCCCGTTGGCAGCTTTTTCATGGAAATTTATATTCGGGTTGAATACATTAATATTAATGTAAGTTACAGTTATCTCCATTCTGGTCCAACATTTTCATGTATAGTAAATTTTTCATTTTTAAACATGACACATATCAAATTGCACGGAAATCGTAGTATAAATTCTTGGCATTCGTTTCATAATAACGGAGGAGGATAATAAATGTTTAAAAATGCCTTTGTTTTTAACTCACTATCATCTTTAAAGGTGTCTCCAATATTTAGTATTGTCTGATCGTAAGTTCTTTTAATTAAATGTACTTTTTTCTAATGACTCATTTGTTTTAAATGCATTAAACTGCTGATGTTTAAAACTGTATAATTGGTAAAATTAATTGATTTCATTTTCTTTCGCGGTCTCTTCCTTATGGAGATGTAATTGTAGTAAATATTATATTATCATGTTCTACATCCAATAATAGTTATATTCCTTGGTCTTAAGGCGGTATTCGACTCAGTTGATCGTGTGGTTCTCTGGCACTTTTTGTCATTGAAAGGCGTATCAGAGAAGGACATTAATCTTGTACATGCTCTCTTCTAGAACAATATTGGTCGAACCAGAGTTTATGGCAAACCATCATGGGAATCGGTTACTTCGAGTGACGCTCGTCAGGATTGTGCGCTTTTTCCATCTTTATTTAACTTTGTCATAGATATGCTTTTAAAGATAACACTTTCATCGTCTGACTTTTCAGGAGTTGATCTACCAGGAGATTTACTTGTTGACTCAAGATACGTAGGTGATATAGTTCTATTTCGTGAAGATGCTGACAAAATACAGTCTTCTGACCTCCTAAGCAACAATGCAAGCATGTTTTGGATAGGGTCCTCAACCTTCAAATGTAAAATGTTACTTCAGGATTGACTTGTCATCGCTTGAATCGATGATAATTAGTGAAGTAGTAGAACCTGGTTGAAGGTCAATATTACAGAACTGTCAACTTAAACACGAGCACAGCTGAAGATGATGAAAATTAAAAGGACAACCAGTTGCGATTATGGCCACCAGGACGGAAAAGGAAAATTCTTTATTAAAAATATAGCTGAGATAATTCAACATTCACAAAAGCCTATGGTATCACTCATTATTCATAATTAGTTGCTGAATACAGTCAGATATTTCACGTTTTTGGGTTTAAGTATATTTAAATCCAAAGCAGTTTGTGCCAATTTGCGCTGTGCTTGTCATCTGTTCAGTTCTCATATGGCGCAATGCTTTACGATACTGAAATTTGAAGAAAATAGTGGGTAGTTGGTCGATATATAGTATCACTATAAAATAGGAGATATCATCGTTGATTTTTTGTTGGATTATCATGATCTAATATGCAATCGTGCATGTAAATCTTTAATTATCAGTTGCTCAATAAGTCTACCATGTGAAATAAAATGTGTCACCAAGAGTCCCTGAATACTGCACGGATATACTCTGGTAACCACATTTACTACATTTTTAAGATTTTATTTATGTTGTACAACTCTCTATACTTTGCAATCAAATTTATGATACTAGTTAGATTATTCGTACATTGTTGCTGACATCATAAAAGTCTTTCTTGCCTTTTTTATTTGCTGTAGCATTGCACCACATTCTCGTTACCATGATCTTGTTTCTAAACCGAAAAATTGTTTGCCGTTGGTCTGGATAGGTTATTTGAGTCCTGCGATTATTATTGGGACATGGTTTGGCTACACAGGAGAAGTTAGTAACAGTGGTCTGTAAGTTAACATCTTTATATCCTCGGTTGTTGTTATTCTTATAGTTCTATTGCTTTCATATATTTTAGGCTTTCTAAGATAAACCTTTTACGTCAATCTAAATATAATTCTCAGTGCTTATTCGTCGAAGAAAGTATTTGTTTAAAGGTTACTGCTAGTCTTGTTAAATTTAGTCATGCCTAATTGTAAAATCCAACTTTATTAAAACGCAACTAGCTGTACCTGCATACCAGTGTTCATGTTCCCAAGACTCGGACTCATCACCCATCGCCCCAACAACACAGACTTATTTCGTATTGTTTGACTTTTTGAAGGCTAGCAGTTTCTGTTATTATTCATTTCGTATTTTTCACGCTTATAAAATTAGACTGCCCGCTATCTAACCCATGTATTCAAGTGTTAAAAATAGTGCTTTTTCGATAACACAATTTTTTGTTTACTTTTATCCTTCCAGCTGCATTGGTCCTAAAACTCTTCGTTGGTCTTTCGTTGGTCCAATAACAACAGTTGTTATTTTTAACTTCGTTATTTTGTTTGTAGTCGGTCTCGTCCTTCTCAGAAATTATCTTGTTACTCGCAAAAGTAAATTAAATAAAACAACGTACGTATGCTTCATTTATCTACATTCGATTTTAGTTTATAAACTAAAGCAACTAACTACTCATATAGGATTGTATATGTTTTCTTTGTATTTACGCAAAACCAACATCAAAAAAATATAGTATGCATTGTCTTTCATCAAACTGTTTAGCCGGTTTTTATCAATGATTTGCTTCAAGAATTACCAAACTATCTGATTCTTCTATCAAGAACAATTTTACTCATCATTTTAACTCTCATTACCAAGGTTTGACTTGTTAATTTTAAATTGAGCATTTCGTAAATTAGCAATGATAAAAATAACGATGTATTTGTAATTATCACATTATGTAGGGAATTAACGTTTCGTGTCTTAGTGTAAGTCGCTTTTTCAGAGGATAAATAACTGAATCCTGTCATCTTAGGTTTACTGGTCAGAAAATGAACAAAGATATTTCTTTATATGTGATTCTGATATTCTGTGGATTAATCGTAGTTTTTGCTGGGTTTTTTTTGCGTTGGCTTCCATTTTGTCTCGATTAGTCCAGGTTTAAATCAAGATAGTTTACTTACACCTGAGACGATTCAGAAAGCAATGCCTTCTGTTTAAGTACGAAATGTAATCATGTTTCCCATTTCATAATTCTACACTAATGTTCTCTTAATTCATTTTGTAATATCACTGAGTTACAAACAGCAGCTCACATTATTTTTTGTCTATAACAACCATATCAAAGTTCTTAATACCTTGATTCTTTCTATCTATAATTGTAGCCACTTTTTAGTGCTGACACAGTTAATGCTAACGTTAGGAATTCCATACATTGCAATTTACATTCAGCTATTGGACGCTTTCACTATGCTAATTGTTGTACCAGTTGCAATGGCTCTAACAGCTGTACTTATGTTTCTCCTGGTCGCCGTTTTTGATGAGGTAACACCATTTCCGTTAATTTAATTTCCACGGCTTAAACATATCCGAATATCTGATTTTTAAATTTATTTATTGCTAACTGTAACGTACTTTACAAGAAATTCCCTCAAGTTTAAAGTTATCAAAACCCGACATCTGTGACAATCTAAATAATTTTTACATCGTCCACAGTTGGTTAAGTACCATTTGACTAATCTGTTTTCGGTCGCATACTCAAGTTTTATTCTGAAGTAGAAATGTTTTTTCATATAGAAGATGGCTTTATTTGGCCGCTATTTCTTTCATTTCAAAGCTGTCTCCAAAATGTTGCTAATTGAAAGATTAACAAGATTTGTTATGGTAGACTAACCTCCAAAATATCTGCAAGCTTAGATTACAGGTGGAAAATGCTTCATAGACCATCAGTTACTCGAAGTATCTTCTTCCTTTAGGATTTGCTAGTAATACCTAAGTTACGACTAACACTTTCTATACACCTGTATACAGCTAATTCACTTGTGCTGTTTAGTCACATTCACGTAGGTAGCAGTTCTCCAGATTTGATTCACGCATTAACCAAAAACCTTACTCTGCATGTCGTCTTTTGGTTTATCAATAACCTACTTTTACCTATCAGTGATGTCTATACCATTTATTATGAGACATGTCACCTTTTCTAATCATTCAACTACACTTGTTCGATTACAGATATGAATCGTTTAGATAAAGGAATTTGCTGCTACCTTGACGTGGTGGTCGGGCTTGCCTATCGTGATGAACCAATCGAGCTATATTGGCTTGAGCAATCGTTCCTCAAGTTCCTACCATGCTAGACAGGTCGGTTGAAGAGCGGTAAGACTAAAAGCAGCAATCCCAAGGTCCGAAGGCGAAGTCGTACTGCCGACTGTACAGAGGTGTAACGGCAGTAAGGTGTTTCCTTCAGACAACCAGCAGCTGCAGCGATGCTGCCTTCCCACAAGGGGGGCGGGTTTAGAAAAGATCGACCCTAAAAATGCACACCTCGCCTTATCCCACGGATTTCCGTCTCCGGCGGTAAGGTCCTTTGAAGAACGGAGCTAACACGTCAAAAATCCCCAACAAAAAGGCCGTGCGTGACCAGCCTGAGGGAGTTGTCCCTTGGGCTCTGTGGTCACGCTCCCAGGTCGTTAAGACCACCACTAATCCAACTTTTTTTTCAGGTCCCTCAAGAAATACCCTTCCACGGTGTGGGCAGCCGGGAAGTGATAAATGCCCTCATACCCTTAACTGCACACGAGACCAAGTTGGTCACTTTCAAATCCTTCCTACACCTAGTAACTCTTATCTCCACGATTAACCCTTCACATATCCCTTTATCACCTCGCACCGCTAGGGCAAACGATTCGAGTACATGGAACTTTATTCCTGGTCTCCTGAAACCACGCTCTAAACTACATGTAGGAACTTTTAATGTCCGAACATTGTGCCAAATAGGACAACAGGCTTCCTTAGCTAGGACTCTAGAATCTTACACCATCGATGTATGTCTTCGAAACGCGCATACAAGATCCGAGTAGTGTCATTCATTTGACCACACCCAATCAAAATAAAGAACCATCTCGATTCACGCTTCGTGTATCTGGAAGCCCTGATGCTGCTTCCCGTGGCCTCGCTGGAGTAGGTATAGCATTAAGTCCTAGGGAAAAACTAGCTCTTTTAGACTGTATCCCAGTAGACAGTCATCTATGCGCTGTCCGACTAAACGGATCAGTAAGGACTCGGAAAGATAAGGAAACTCGTCGTTGCCTCTTCGTCGTCTCTGCCTACTCTCCCACTGACTGCAGCTCAGACGACATAAAACATGAGTTCTACAGGAAACCTTCTGACCTTCTCCGAAAAGCTAGGCGTCCTGATGTAGTAATAGTGGCAGGTGACTTTAATGCTCAAGTAGGTAAACTAAGTGAAAGGGAAAGACACCTGGGTGGATCTTATGGCGGAAAGAACAGATAATGGCGACCGTCTGTTGCAGCTGTGCTCAGATAATCATGGCAAATCGATTGATGAAGTAGTGAAACTTCATCAGTCGAGATGGCTGGGACACGTAGGCCCAACCACCGACTGCCCCGACGTGCAATGTTTTATGGTGTAGGAGCAGGTTGGAAGAAAGCTATGGGCGGACAGACCAAAACGTGGCACAAATCCATGAAGTCGCTGACAAGTGGACTGAGCCATGTTGGTAGGTGTAAACTACCTGGTTGGGATTCGCAAGATGATAGCAACCGATGGTTAGAGACCTTGAATGACATGGCTCAAAATCGTTTGCAATGGCGAAGGTGCATCCACTCTTTGTGTTCTACCAAATTATAATTCTCTGAATTCGTCATGTCCCTATCCTTTTTCTCTTTTCAAATTTATCTCACTGTATTAAACTCCTTCAATAACATCTTCAAACCCTAATCTTTTACATAATACTTATATTCTTACTACTTCTACCACTATGGGATTTGATTCGACAACTGCATCTCTGTGCTAATGTGATATGGCAACTCGAACTGATGTACGTACGTACGAAGTTCTATGCTGTGACTGACTGACATAAACTTATATTACCTTTGGTAGATAGTATGTCTGGAGATGCTAGTCATTTCCAGCAATCCTATCGTTAAAATCGACCTATGAAATGTCTCCACTTATCCATCAGATATGAAATGATTTCTAACTTACATTTAGAAGGAATTAAATTTCATTATTAGTGTTTCAAACAGTTCTGATAAAAATCAATTTTTATTCACATTATGATATAAATTAGTTATCACGTTAATTACATTAAAAAAGTTTCTCGTTTGCTGTTATAATACATTTCGCTGACAATCATCCTTTTTTCTAATATTCATTCACGTTTAACCACCCGTATTAAAGAGCTCTGTTTCTCAACAAGTTATCACTTCTCATGAATATAGTTCATTTTTTCATCTTTAAGCACTTTTACCGTCACAAACTTATCCTCTGTCGTTATCATCATCTCTGTGTTGCTCTAGAAATATTTCTTTAGACTAGGGTCCATATAAAATAACAAAACAGCTCACTAATCCTCTCTGGTTTTCACTGGATGTCTGCCTTAATTTAGTTCGTGATGTAAACTACAAAGTGGAAAATCTCTTTTAGGGAAGAAAAGGTTCATTGGTCTTAGCGTTCTACCTATATTTTTAGCTTTCTGGAAGTCGGTCGATTAATGTTGTGCAATACAATTGTCTGAATTTGTAGTTTCATCACTTGTGCGCATACTCCTGGCGTAAAATCAAATGTAACATACTGCAGTATTATTAATTCAAGTACAAAATTCCTATGTAATTTTAATACTTGTTTCTGAAATTTAACGTCTTTTTTAGTTACTTTTCTAAATACAGTGTGTTATTTAGTACTTAGTCTAAAGCTATTTTATGTAAAAGAATCGTTTCGTTTGGATCCATACTTTTAGGAAAATCGTCATTTACTACGATCCTTTATTTACACACACATCGCACGTTCAAGCGAGCACAGCTCTGGGAAAATGGCATTGAGAAATCAATGTAGGAGTGAAATTGAGTCAACTTTTAAAAAATCTCCTCTCCATCATATAGAGAGGGATCACTTTTCGTCAAATTATTTAAGCACACACGTTTTATGCAACCCAGATAACGAAAAAAGGGTCTATCAACATGATAACACAATTAGAAGGAAAACACAAGAATATAGTTCAAGTATTGGTGAGTAGCAATATCTTCCATTAATTTCGTTAGTTCATACATTTGCATTGTCTACACAATTTTGTTGAGGGAAAACAGTTATACTTTACTCGAGGCGTTATTTGTAGTACAATTTCTACTACGCCTATATTGTTCGCCTCCTCATGTCAGTCATAGTGACTCATCGGTAAACTGGTGACCAACTTCTTCGTGCTATGTGTTTATTTCATCCTTTAAAAAAAATGTAATTTTTGTTTTAAATGTGAACAGTAAATAAAAATTAAACAACTACTCTTCAATTAGAAGATAAAAATCCCCTTTAATTATGTGTCGTTCGTATGCATATACATATACAATCATTTGGTCATCGAGTTGTGTTAATATTTTGTACTCAAATATTTCAGAAGGCTAGGACCTTCAACTGTTAAACCCAAGTAGCAATAATGTTTGTTTTATCAAAAATTGTGAGTAAACTTACAACTACACGTTGGTTCTGTTTGATTGTGGGTTACTGTAAAAGCTCGCTTTGCTTTTCGTATGGATGCATTTAGATATGCTATACTGGATCTGTGTTTCTAAGTAACATTGTCCAATTATTAATCCATGGTTATCACTAGTACTACTCCTTATTTACGAATTACACACGTTTAAGTTTCGCTTCTGCTACATCATTAGCCACCTAATGCAATATATATATATATATATATATATATATATATATATATATATATTGTTGTCAAGTTGTGGTTTCTTACACTAATTTCGCATTCAATCATAATCTGTTTCCCAATCAGATAGTTACTTTTATATTCCCCTTTACTTTTCTAATCTTTATACAAGCCTCACCTGAAACTGGTAATTCAGTTGTACTTTACGATTCGAGACAACTAAATGGGGAGTTATTTAATGACATTTCGTGCACTGAAGAAGACCGCACAGTCAACAATCTAAAGAATGATGGTGATGTCAATCTTGGTTTTCCAAATAATCAAATACATGCTTTGCCTTCTTTCAACGGTCTAGTCACTCGAATGTAAAGATTTACAATGCGTACGTGAAAACGTAACTCAGTTATCCATTTTAACAGCCATCAGGTTGTTTCTATCCGAAAAAGATTTATTCGTGAAAGCGAGATCACCGGTTTCTGTTAGTTCATATCTTACTTTTTACCAATAATGAAACGTTCACTTATCTTGTATGTCTTAATTTTCTGATCTTTTCTTTCTAAAACCTGCGCATTTTAAGTGGGCATATTTCATTTGTTTGCTGTTTCCTTATTTATGCGCACACGATAAATTTCGATTTATAAAACACTAGAAATTGATTTTACAGATTTTTTTTACTTACTGTTGTATTATTTGTATATATTATTCCTCAATGTATTGAACTAATCTGCGATCTGCATAAGCTCCATTTTGCGTGAAACTAATTTTCGAAACTATTAACTTGCCACATAATGCATGCACAAATGGGTTGATTTTGATTTTTTAAAATATTTATTGTTTGCATAATTTTTTATGATCAGCAATTACATATACCTTCTTCGCCACAATATCGTTACTTCATTCTTATAATATTTCGTGGGTACTCGGTATATTAATAAATACAAAAACCGAAATTTCCCAAGGCTTTATTAGATTTACAGCTGTTTCTACTAAAACAATAACTATAACACTAACTTATACAAGTAGGAAACGTTTAAATAACATCTCAAGATTTACTCGGATTTGTAGAAAACGGATATTTCATATTCTTTTTCCCTTTTGATACCCAATGCACTTTTTCTTTGGCTCAAACAGAAGCTCATTTCTTGAAAGTGAGGCAAAGTATCATGTAGTATTTTGCAAAATACAAAGTGTGAGGAAAACAATAAATCAGTGCCTTTCTAAATAAATATTCACATTCATAAATCAAAATTAACAATCCAAAATATTTACGGTTTATTTATAAATCCCACAAATCAAATGAGCGATGGGACGTCTGACCAGTCTTCAATGTATTCGTCGTACATTCTTGGGGTTGTGGATTGTTTTTTGATGCGAAGAAACGATTCCTTACTTTTTGATGATATGTCTCTAGAGAGTTCACTTAAAGTGGCGTTTGGCTTATTAAAATCCTGGACAAAAATATGATTTCTGAAAGTTTAACAAGGCAAAAATAGTGACAATTTTTTAGACGGAGAAGAAATTGATTTTTTTCGTTACATATGTAACAATATAAGAAATACTACAACAAAAACAATCCTTGTAATCAATTATTTCTAGATTTAAAAGGATTCAGGTTTGAAAACACATTATTTAAATTTAGCACATATGCAAACGAATATAAAGCGTATAAAAGCCAAACACAACAATTGAAACTAAAAATCAAAGGAAATTACAAAAATTTATCAAAAAAGTTGTGGATTAATTACAAAAACATTTCACGTATACAACCTACGTTTTTTTTGTTTTTTCGTGAGAACTATGTTCACTATTTGCTGATATTCTGATATCCCGGGATGCCTGTGTATAAATTTAGCAAAAATATTATTAACATACTTTACTAGTGATCATTTACACCTGTTGGTCAAAAATGAATTAAACAGCCTACATTCTTTGTTAAAAGTGGTAAATCAATCTTCTTAGATGGATATCGGCCTATTTCCAATGTTGTTATAAAAGTATGGATTTTTATAAAAAACCTATAAAAGGTTTTTCATACGTTTATATGAAGGTTGTTAAGATAGGAATTTATTGTCCATCACCCTCATGAACGAATGAACATATTTGATTCATGTGGTACGGATAAATATGACTGAGAAGTTCAGTAAACATGTAGACGCATCAGATATTGAAATTTTTGCTGGTCAAAAGTTGATCAGGTTCCTTATATTGTAAAATTTGATTTCAGTGATGTCTTTCAGAATCCATATTCACAGACAGACTAATATGTTTTATCGTTCAGACAACACATCAACATAGCATTGTCTATTCCTATTATTCTAGAAGAATAATGATTTTTAAAAACATTACTTAGTTCCTGAATATCAATATTATTCTACACAATTTAGGAAATTAGAACAACACATGTAAGCGAACAATTGTTTTCAATTAGATCGTCATCAGGCTTTACTTTAATATACATGAATATTTATACGAAAATTTTAGACCAATCAAGGCTATTTGAGTCAAAAATCACAATGAAATAGAATACGTCGCCAAGCATAATAGGTAAAAGTACAAGTTGAAAATGGGAGGACAGGTGTACTGATAGTAGTAAGAATATGAAATTACGATAACAAAAGTCTTATCAATAGTTAAACATAGGAAATAGGACCACCTTATGAAGCTCGATCTATACGGCTGCTATATCGACGATACATTAATTGTCGAAGATCAGAACACCAGTAAGGATAGACTATTAGAACAGTTCAACAGTGTACATCTAGCAGTTAGTTTCACTGGTGAAGGCGAGTGTGACAAAAAGCTGAATTTCCTTGACGTTACACTAAGCAGGCGAAGTGATGGCTCGTTAAGTAGAAGTGTCTATAGAAAAAGTCCCTTTACCTGCCAATATACTCACTTCTACAGCTTTACACCTATCCAATATAAAAGAAATTTGGTTAGATGTCTCACTAGTAGAGCAAAAAAGATGTGTTCAGTAGATACTTTAAGTCAGGAACTGGAATTTATCTATAACTCACTGACAGAGATCGGCTACCCTGTTGCGTTCATTCAGAAGTACATGTATGATACAAGGAAGTAGTCAGAGATTTCAAATGTTCCAAAAAACCTTTATACATGAAATTACAATTCTACAGGGATGTATCTAGTGATACTCTGAAAGATAGGTTAACGAAAGTAATTAGTAGGATATTCTACGCAGCCTATCTTGCATTGATTTTCTCGAGTCGACCAGTGATGCCTACTCAAACGAAGGATTAGTTACCTGAGTTGACCTCTATTTGCATTTATAGGTTCAGCTACTCCTGTGGAGATAGCTATATCGTGCGTACTACTAGGCAACTTAACCAACGAATGAGTGAACATCTACCAGCATGGTTTGGGAAGGGCCAGATAAAAGCAATACGCAGTTCTATCTTGGCATATCTAATTGATAGTGGTCGTAATTTAGATAAATCGAAATCATTTCGAGTGATCTATCGTATACTTCTATCATTTCCCAACGGAGTTTGTTGCCATAGGAATTCGTACATTCCAACCCAATTTATGTGTAAAGAAGCAATTTGTAACCCCCCTATCCGTTCCGTTGCCGGACATAACAGATGACATCATCATTATTTTTAATTTTGTTATCATTTGTTTGTAATTTCCTGCCTCTTTCCGTTTGTATTCTTCACTATCTAATTACATACTTCTTATTATGTAATGATTTTAATGTTTTGTGATTACTATTCTAGTCTATTTACCCACGTCTGACCTCCTATTTCCTATGCTTAACTATTGATAAGCCTTTTAAGCAAAGATGGATAGTGGCTAGCAGTGAAATCCAGGACGCGCGTTTCGTTCTGTTCGGGACTCGTCAGTTGGATGTACCTGCATCTCAGAGTTCATGTTCACTCTGGGACTCGAACCCAGCACCTTTCGCTTCAAACGCCATCGCGTTATCCATTCAGCTACTAAGTCCTGATAGCCACTTGTTTGTGCAAGTGAATTCAAACTTCACCTCATTGCACAAGACTTTAATATTCTTACTACTATCAGTACACCTGTCCTCTCATTTTCAACTTGTACTTTTACCTATTATGCTTGGCGACGTATTCTATTTCATTGTGATTTTTGACTCAAATAGCCTTGATTGGTCTAAAATTTTCGTATAAATATTCATGTATATTAAAGTAAAGCCTGATGACGATCTAATTGAAAACAATTGTTCGCTTACATGTGTTGTTCTAATTTTCACACTGGGAATCTTTAATATTCTACAATTTAGGAAGTTTGCATTGACAAAGTATGTCAGCAGTTGTTAGATTTCTAAGTTTCCAGAATTGCGAGAATGATGTGCGCCAAATTAGAGACTAAATATATTAGAATATGTCATCAAGTATACATATACTGAACTCCAGCTCACTAAGATAAAGATAATATAAGTGAAACCACAGAATATCAACAGCAGCTAGATTTTGACGTAAGAATAAAGCTCAAAAGGAACTATTGAATAGTAATAAGATCATGATGAGTACAAATAATAAAGCATGTACAAAGCTATGACCGATTGTGCATCCTTATCACATAAAGTCTACAACCGTATACTACAACTTCATCGCGTCCTCCAACACCGAAGTTTTTACCTGCCTAAATTGCCGCGATTTCCATATGGAGGCCTAACGAAATGGAACATATTCTTGATTTACCTACTATCTTTTCCAACTTATTTTTCTTAAAACAGGTCCAAATCACCTCTGATTATGAACCGATGGTGGTTTTGTGATGGTGAAGAACTTTTGCTCGGTTGGAGTTTTTCTCTGACCTGGATATTTTATTTGTTGAACTACCATTGTTTTCTTGAATAACGTCATCAGCTTAAACTTCAGACAGAAGCAATGTGCTCGAATTTTTTCACATGCGACTAAAAGCATGCCCTGTCTCGTTTTCTTTGTGTTCACTTTATCTAAAATCTAAGCATTTTATCAGTTTAATTTATGTCCATAATTGTCCGCGTTCGTTCATATAAGTAAGAACACATCATGGCGTTTGACAGCTAGTCCGTATTCATAAGTACGAAGATGAAGACAGCTCACTGTCCGATGTGGTGTTTCTGGCAGTTTGTTTTGATGGCGTCTTGCGTTTCTTGTTTTGTCGTTTCACGCTGGTTTGGATAAAGTTGAAGTGATTTGTAATTTTATAGACATATTCAACTGAAAAAGTGTTGAAATTTCGGACAAAGAAAATACATAGAAAACCACAGAACTTTTGGAGACTTGGTACTAAGGTCAATCAGTAAGCATATAGAAATAAAATCAATCGGAAAATTCACTGAGAAATATAAAGTCAAATATCAGGTTAAAAGGGGAGGCAATTAAAATGAATTTTCAAACAACAAAAGGTGAAAGGTCAACAATAACCAATCAAGTTGGGAAGTTTGTATTATTCAAGACCAATTATTTCAGCGAGGAAACCACATGGTATAAAGATGGATCACATCTAAGTTAGCATCATGATAGTTGTGCAGGTGTATGTCAACAGTTGTCGGTTCTTGTTATAAGTGCTAAGTGTTTTAAAGTTAAAAATATCTGACAATCAGACTCCATATTATTGATTGCATTTATTCTCAACATGGATCAGTGGCGTTCTCCAAGTAAGCTATTTCCGCATTCTCCCGCTTGATTCAGCCTGCCATCAATCCGTCACTTTTAAAAATATATTTAGTACTGCACAACTTCTCCTATAAGATCATAACAATAATCTGTATGCTTGCTTATTAGCTTTAAAGTAATGGATACAAAGCTAATATACAACAGGAATGTCTAAACTAGGCTCTAAAGATCCAGGATAAATCTTATCTCAGTAAACAAAGTAGCAAAAGAAACACATTTCACATTTTTTTGGAAATTTATTCCTAAGACAATATATGTAAAAAGCAAGAGAATAATGCATCTGATTAACTTGATAACAACTTTATACCTTTGGCATAGTAATCAGCAAATGTCCTGTCGTCAAAGAACGCCTAACATGTGAGGCATCAGCTCGAACTTCATCTGGTAAAGCTAGCTGGAAAACCTGGAAAAATTACCGGCAAAATGTTTGTTGTTATTACATAAATCAACAAAACAGTATTTTATAATCGATTTACGCCATATCGACTAACGACGTTTTTCATTTAGCTGAATAGATTCAAGACAGGTCAAATAAATACTCTATATTAAAGCAACAACATGATAAGTTGTGTTTGTAGAACAAAAATTTTACTGTAGTCTTACGATTTCCTAGAGGTCTATTAGTAGAGGATTGTATTCCGAAGGTATCATTTGTAACTTTGGTATACTGTTCAATATCCAACCATGCATGGCAAAGTTACTATTTCACTGACTTTACATAGAACTAACCATTCTAAACTCATTCTCATAGTATTGTACTTCCAATCGAGAAATCTAGAAGTAAATACGATTTTAGTTGGCATTGATTTTTATCAGGAGTGAATTAACTCAACAGATAGCATGTTAACAATAAGACCAGATACAGGAAAAGAATCTGAAGTGTGTGACTTGTATATCAGTTAATATGTGTACATAATTAGTGAATTATTGAGTGACTATTTACAATCAGCAAGAGAATAAGTAACAGACATGCAAATAATCACATAGATGGGTATGTACATAGATAATTGAACGACTGAATTACTGTAAGGTTTTAACGAAAATACATTGACCTTTGTTTGGACCAAATTTGTCTGTATATATATATATATATATATATATATATATATATATATATATATATATATAGGAAATCTTGGACATGAATTTCTAGTTTCATGTCTCTAACACTGAATAATAATTCATCATCCTTCCAACTGTGAAACTACTTGGCTTAGTGAAAAAGTCAATCACA